ACGATCGTATTTGATAGCCGATGCTTCAATGTCAACATCAGGGAGGTGGTTCTCATCTTGTGGGATAGAGAATGGCAATCTGCCCCCAACATTGACCCTTCCCAGTAAAACGTCTGCGAGTGCATGGCCGCCTTCTACCCCCGCGTACCAACTGATCATTATGGCGGGGACTTTGTCTTTCCATTCTTCCATTATGACAGCGCCGGCGCAAATAAGCACAACAATTGTCTTAGAGTTCACAGACGCCACTGCATTGATGATTTCAACATCTCGAGGTCTCAATCTCAGGGACAATCGGTCGCCGCCAGCACCAACTTCGAGTGCCGAAGTTGGACTTTGTTTGTCCTGAGATGGGTTACCCTGCACAATCGCCAGAATCTCCTTTTGGTCGGAGTTCTTAGTGGGAGGGAATAGCTCTGATAAGCGAGGATCGTTCTGGAGAGAAGGCACCACATACTCGCCCTCATCGCTGGCGTCGTAGCCCACGACAACAACTGCAACATCTGCTTTCTCGGCTGATATTGCAGCAGACTCAGGACTGTCGCCATCGTCAAGCATGATCTCTGCATTGGGAATCCCGTCCTTGAGTCCCTGGTAAGGGGTGACCACGGTCGGTGAAAACACCTGCGAAGAGCCCTTATCCCCGGTATTGGGTTTGTTTGCTAGGCGACCAATAAGGGCCAAACGAGTTACATCTGCTTCGTTGAGCGGAAGGAGAGGAGTGCTATTGATGGTGTTATTCTTGAGGAGGACGATTGACCGTTCAGCGACCTCTCTGGCGAGTTGCCGATGTTCTTTACAAAAGACGACGGACGCATCAGGTGTCTCTGAGAGAGATCGAGAGGCAAACTTTAGCTGCGTTCTCAGGATCCTCGTCGCTGATTTGTTGACATCGATCCAGGATAGTTCGCCGCTACGGAGGGCATTCTCCAGGTGCATTGCTCGTTGCTGCGCGAAAGGCGCTTCAATATCGAGACCATTTTTTACCGAAAGCGCGGCGTCTCGTAAGCCAAAAATAAAATCCGATACAACAAACCCGGTGAATTTCCACTGTTCTCGAAGGATATTTGTCAGGAGAGCTTTGCTTTGCCCTGCCCATTCTCCGTTGACCGAGTTATAAGAAGACATCACTGAAGCCACGCCAGCTTCAACAACCCTTCTGAAGTGGGCTAGGTAGACTTCATGAAGAACGTCCTCTTCGATCTCCACATCAACTCTAAATCGTGCATTCTCCATGGAATTCAGGGCAAAGTGTTTAACACATGCCATAACATGATTTTGAACGCCCTGAGTAAGTGCAACTCCAAACTCGCCCAACAGAAATGGGTCTTCTCCATATGTTTCTTGGATGCGGCCCCACGCTGGGTGACGCGGAAGATTGATGCACACGCCAGCGAAGTAATTGGCGCCCTGTGCCTTGGCTTCCAGTCCAATGGCGTTACCAACACGGCGTTCAAGTTCAGTGTCCCATGTGGCGCCGCGTGCCATGGAGATTGGAAATGCCGTTGACGAGCCCATGACGACGCCCCTGGGTCCATCCGTGAACTTGATTCCCGGAATGTTGAGGCGAGGAATCGCACCCATGACGAATGGCTTGCGATTATATCGATCACAGAGTATTCCTCGTAGGCCCTCCCAGAATGGTACATCTCCATCCAGAAGATGTAAACGCTCCGTCAAAGAGAGTTCTGTCAGTAGATGAGAAGCGACAGCTGAAGGGTCGTGACCGAAGCTGACTTCCTTTACAGCCTTAGCAAAGGTCAGAGGCTGGTGGTTTTCACGACCAACAGGATGATGATGATGTAACAATGTCGGTGGTGTAACGCTCTTCATGTTGGCTGGCACTGAGATGAAAGGTCAAGGGTAGACAAGATGCGATAGATGCAGACTGAAGGGGGCTGTACACCTGTCAAAAATAAATATGAAGGCCTGTCGCAATGAGAGCGACTCTATGTAAGGCGGCTAGAGCTATATTCTAAGTTAGAATGCGCTCAGCACAATATCGCGGAGTCTCGGGTGAAAGGCATCATAAACATGTGCCATCCGCATACCGAGTCGGTTTTGATCCAGTCCGCGGAATGTCGGGGCATAACCCGAAGGAGTCATGTCATGTTACAATTTTGGTCAGCTGAATGGCAGACACTACAGAGTAATTACCCCAGACAATTCCCCGCATGGCGATCCAGCCAAGCACCAAACCCCGCGTTTAGGCTATTTGGCTTAACTAGTCTATACCACGCCATTTAACTAGTTCTGGAAGATCCACGATAACATCCGTTTGGTCAAGGAGTAGCGTGATTTAAGTGCTGCATAGCAGTCAGCCAACACTACTATGTGGGTCCGCATTTATACGAAAGTCTTTTTTTGAATTAGCTACCCTCTTGTTAAGTCTGGTTTCTTACAAGTTACATGTCTCCATCGTATATGGTAATAAGCAGCTATCTTTGCCTCTTTTGCTACCCCTGATCCTGCCAGAGTGTGAAGATATATAAAGCCTCAGTTGTCCTCTGGTTGATAAACCCTCTTCAAATCGGTCATCAAGGACACACATCTTACCTGCAATCTGCCTTTACAATGATGATCAAGTCCATTATTCTCGGTTTGGTATATGTTACCACAGCCTACGGAGCCGCACTCGAGAAACGCGCTCCAGCCCCTTTCTCCAACTTTACCAGAAACGAATTCTTCAAGCCTGCAGCAGATGCTCAACTCTGGGGCACTCTCTATGCCCGATCACTCCAGTTGCCTGATGAGTCGCTGCTCATGACATGGGAAAACTACCCAGCTGAGTCCAAGGCCTACCCCGTCAACCGTCAGTCTTCTATAAACTATTTCGTGTGCCGCGGATGCTAACCCATCAACTAGACCCTATCTACAAGTCTGTGGATGGTGGTGCAACTTGGTCCAATTTCAGTGCTGTCAAAGACACCCAGAACGGCTGGGGCATGCGATTCCAGCCATTCCTGTATACTCTTCCAACTGACTTTGGTGGTTATGCCAGGGGTACCATTCTGGCAGCTGGTGTTTCGACCCCTGAAAGCCTCGAAGGTGGTGTATACATTGAAGTTTATGCAAGTAAAGATGGTGCAAAGACCTGGGAGTTTGTCTCTCACATTGCGTATGGCGATGGGCCTAATACCATCAAGAATGGCGATAAAGCACTGTGGGAGCCTTTCTTCTTAATGTACAAGGATCAGCTGGTCTGTTATTACTCTGACCAACGGGACCCCAAGCATGCCCAGAAGCTCGTCCATACCACTACCACTGATCTCAAAACGTGGTCAGACATTGTCGAGGATGAGGCCGAGAGCAACTATGACGCTCGCCCCGGCATGACCACTGTCGCTCATATCGAGAGCACTAACAAGTGGATCATGACTTGGGAACGCTGTGGTGTTGATGCCTGCAGGGTCTACTACAAAGTCTCCGATAGCCCTCTCACTTTTGGACCCATTCCCGGAACCAGACTTAAAGCCACCGACGGTAGCCTATTCTCTAGCGGACCATATGTGACTTGGGTCCGTAACCCTTACACCAGTGATGGCTCTGGCATCATCATTGTTAGCACCACTTCCTCCGAAAACATCCTCATTCAAGGTGACAACCCTGCCGAAGGAAAGTGGAAGAAGGTCGATATTAACCATTGGTCCGCATATACCCGCAGTGTCAGGGAGATTACTGTTAAGGGAACCAGAAGGCTTTTGATTGGAAACGGTGGCAATTTTGGAGACAAGAAGTATAACGGCGTTGCTGACGCCGTTGTTCCTATCCCAACGCTCTAAATTATCGTCCAGACTCAGTGTGTAGATGGATCATTGCAGCTCTACTGCATATGTAGGTCGTGGTACGCGAGGAAAAAGAAACCTTTACCATAGCTTATACGAGGACAAAACAAAATGGGCCAGTGGACCTCTTGCAGTGTTCTCTGGTAACAAGTAGCTAGATTATATATTTTATTCTATCTCTAGATTCTACTCTCCAAACCAAGGTGAGATGGGCCGACAGTTTACCTCTATCTCAGTCTGGACGGTGCCACCAATTACCTGTGAGAACCCCATTCCCCAAGTAACCAACTCCATAGAGTGTGCTGGGCATGATAGCTGTTCCGCGCCCAATGGTAGTTACGCGGCTCAGATGAGTGATATTCTCTCGAACAAACCACATCATGTCGCTCCTTTCCGTGTCTTCAACGGTCCGTCCGTTGAGTAAGATCTTTAGACGCAGAGGCTTGGAATTAGTCAATATAACAGGGCCTGCGCATGGCTGACGTCTTTTGGTATCCGGTGAGTTAAATGTATCAAAGTTGCTCTCCTGGCAAATGCGGGTTTGCTAAAGACTGTAACGCGGATCTTGAACCAAACATGCGCTCATCACGACTTTTCCGAGCTTTGCCGTGCCTAATCAGGACTTGGTGGGAAAGCCTGTTTCCGCCACAAAACTCAACTTCGAATAAAACTTGGCCGTGTCTTTGTGTGTTTAAGTCGTTCTGGGACGTGCTAGCTCGATTATGGTGGTTTGCGCATGAGATTACCACTGGAAAGCGTCCATTCAGCGGCCCGGCGGGGTTAAAAAAAAGCCCGATTCTCCTGACACCGGCAGAAGATATAAAGGCACGAATTGAGTTGGATTAGACCAAAATTTGTAGTGACGGGGATTTCCCTTGTATCAGCGCAAATAGCGAATGATAACTACAGGCACTGGGAAGCATGGAGCTCTGTCTTCTGCCATGAAAAAGACTGCGACCTACAAAATAGAGTTTGTGGACTCGTTACAGTAGCATTAAACAAACAAACTCCAGTGCTTCCGAAGAGAATGGAATTAGATGGGTATACAGCTCAGGCAGCACCGTCAGAGAACCCAGATTTAGTATTATTTTGACTACTCTATTATTCTTCCTCAATCTTTAAGCACATCATCACATCAGTACTGATGTGTTATCCCACTCCGCAACTCTCACCCCAAATCCAACGTAGAAGTCGAGCGATTGCCGGGTTGTCAGTATGGAGCTTACCAAGAAATCAACCCCGAAAAGCATCTTGATCTTCGGTGCTGCTGGTCACATTGGCCAACCCCTTGCCGAATATCTCACAGGCGAAGCCCCGGATATCCCAACTTTCGCTTGTCGCCAGAAGCACCGAGAAGCAGAAAATACTCCAGAACGACTTTCCTGAGGCCGGGTTCTCGCGGCTGATTACGAGGATCTATCTTCACTTGCGGCGGCTGTAAAGGGCGTCGAAGGCGTTTTCGTCATATTGTCCAGCGGCATGTCGGAAAGCGTTGCCATGACGAATCTTACAACTGTGCTAAAACAAGATGGCAGTGCAGTCCAGGTCATCCGCTTGCTCGGCATATTCCCCGAGTTCAACCCCCACCGCGTGCCTGCAAATTTGGGGCGGAGAGCCTGCCCATTGAGCACCCGATTGCCAAGCGGATCCTCGATGAAAGCGGACTTCCAGCCACATACATCAACTGCGGAGCTTCTTTTATCGATAATCTGTGGTTACAGATCCAGCCGGTCCTATTGAATAAGACGTCCATCTGGCCAGAGCATCGTGTGCCGTTTCTCGACCCGCAAGACATTACAGAAGTTGCAGGGCGCCTGTTTCTCTCAGACAATGCTAAGGGGCATCTCGCACCATGAATAACGGCTATAACTGGTTGACGTATGAAGAAGTGGCAGGAATTCTTGGTGATGAATTGGGTGAAAGATTGCCTTTGACGGAAGCTATGAGGGCTTCATGGAGTTCTGGGGCCCTAGAATGGGAAAGAAGGCGGAGGGACTCTGGAATTTCTTCAAGTTCGAACAGGCTAATGAGGAACAATGGGCTTTGAATAATTTTGTTGAACCGACTTTGGGAAGGAAGCCTACCACAGTCAGGGGCTGGATAGTGGAGCATAAGGATGCCCTCGTACATGCTACGCATCTAGTCTCCCGAGGAGAGTGAAGATAGGGTTCATGGGTTATAGTTCATTCAGCACAGAGAATGATTTGAACCGGAATTAAAGCTCTTTACGTAATCAAATTGGCCATTATCACATTAACCGTAGGACTGATGGGCTGATATGAAACAGACTCTGCATAGCCTGGCATTATTTTTAGTGAGGACAAAGAGCTAACTCTACCATATAGAGAAATATAGAGATAAGGAGCCAGCAGTCAATACCCATGATTAGGAAGGTATCAGCCTTTGAGATTCTATGGTGCAATAAACCTTTCTAGGTTAGGTTCTACCGAGCCTCCTCTGTTTGTAAAATATTCACCAGGAAACCGACGCGGAATCTGCAGGAGGAAGGACGAATTGATATCAATCCAGATAATGATTCGACGCAAGAGCCCATTCAAACCAAGTACATTCAGTCCGTGTCTTTGTTCAACCATATCGTAGAGCCCCTGCATGTGTATTCGATACGCCTCGACACCTCCATGCATCGCCTCAAAGCTAGCCATCTTTGCAACAGCCCCAATAAGCGCGTCGCTCATGTCATCATTTGTAACCATCAGTGCATTGATCGCCGAAATTGCCTGGAGCCTGAGTTGCAGGATATGGCTCGGTGAAATGGAGGTACCAGAGACTGATGACATGTTGGCAGCAGAAAGTAAAAGAATTGTTTGGAAGGGTGCCTCTTGAGATAGGACCAGCGGGAACCAGCTCGTGCGCAAAAGACCTTTATTTCCAGGCTGGTCTAACTCTGGGATATCCACTGCCATGTGTACGAGATCTGTGACATCGACAGCCTGTTAGTCGGACTGGAATGTTGTACGACATATACGGACACTAACAGTGATCCACGAGGCCAGGGACCTGCGGATTCCAAGGACCAGGATAGGTTCTGAAGGGATCGACCCGGCCGCCGCCGAGCTGCCTTTCGACGGGAGGTAGTTGCCAACATAACTGGTCGACATCTTGGCTGACACATTCAAAGACGATTTTCTGTTCCTTATCCCGTCCCCGACGTCCTTTTGGACGGCCGGGTTTCGTGTAAGCTTTCCAACCCCGCTTGGAAATATGTGACCGGACACTTGAATCCGCTTTCAGCAAATCAGGCTGATCGGCGATGACGAATTTAAGGTCTGAGTGCAGTTGAGGGGTGCACTGGATTAGTGGACAGCGAGACATGTGTGTTGTGCTCAAATGACCAGGCGTGGTAGAGGTTCTGTAATCTCAATGATGTACGGTAGGGAGTAGTGAAAGCTGACGTCAGGCAGGCCCTAGACCTAAATAGGGAAATGCATCACGGCTCACTAGTTGCTTTTAAGGTTTGGAACTCAGCTGCCAAGTGGCATGACAGCTGCTGATCAATACGCCATATGTTCTAGTGTAAGAGAGGTTGAAAGGTCAAGATTCATATCCTGCGCTATCTAGAGGTACCTCAATCTACCGCTGGTCCAGTTGCAATTGAGAGTATCCTTGATATTTAGAATTCAGCTGGATGTTACTTTTATAGAAACTTGTATTGTGCCTTCCGATCTGCAAAGGGATTCAATAGAAACGCTATACCTAATTTCGTAAATGCATCACGTTAACTAGTGATTAGTCCAACTTCCCAACCCTCAAATTCGCAGATATCAAGTTCAGTGCTTTTTTCCCTCTTGGGCATTTGGCTTAGGTACTATGCCCAATTCCGCCAATGCATATGTTCAACAAGTGCTGTTGTCGTCTTCCCTTCATCGAGATCTCTACTTGAGTCTGGTTATCTATATATAGATGCATCCCCTGACTTGTAACGGACAATACAGAAGGAATTCTCCCCCATACAAATTACAGCCTACAACTGATCTCATCGTTTCTAAAATGTCTCTCGAAGGAAAAGTCGTCCTCATCACCGGCGGAGCCAAGAACCTGGGTGCCGAAATTGCCCTATCCCTAGCCAGCATTGGCGGCAACCTAGCCCTCCATTACAACTCACCATCTACAAAGAACAATGCCGACGTTTTAGCAAAGACAATCAGCCAATCATTTCCCAAGGTGAAATATGAGTTCTATCAAGGCGATCTTACCACCAAAGTAGCAGTTGACAACCTGTTTGAATCGGTGCTCAAGGACTTTGGCAAGGTCGACATTGTCATCAACACGATTGGAAAGGTTCTCAAGAAGTCCATCGCTGAAATTTCGGAGGCAGAGTACGACAGCATGTTTGAGTGAGTCTCACCGCTTGAAGCTCCAAGTTTATTCTTACTAACCAAGACTACAGCGTCAACTCTAAATCGGCTTTCCTGATTCTCCAAGCTGGCGCAAAGCATGTCGAAGACGGCGGGAAAATCATCACTATCGTCACCGCCCTTCTCGCTGCCTTCACTGGGTTCTACACCTCATATGCCGGATCTAAAGCTCCTGTTGAGCATTTTACCCGTGGCGTTGCCAAAGAGCTCATGGGACGTCGAATCAGCGTCAATGCTGTCGCGCCTGGACCGATGGATACACGTAAGTTGTCTCTAATGCTCTTTTAATTGTGTACTAACAATAACGCGTCCTGTAGCTTTCTTCTATCCCCAGGAGGCCGATGATGCTGTGGCCTTTCACAAAAGCCAAGCGCTGGAGGGTCGACTGACGGATGTTAAGGATATTGCTCCCCTTGTTAAATTCCTTGTCACAGAGGGGGGATGGATTACGGGGCAGACCATCTTCGCTAACGGCGGTTATACTACTCGTTGAGTACTCCATGCCTAGTCAAATTCTATCTCAACTGAGACAAAATCATTGACTGTTCATTGTACCATCGTTAGGCTAACAGTCAATATTCCAAATTAGGAAATTCTGTTTACATGCATGCCTTGTCAACTTCACTCTTCTCTGTCGCAGCCAAGAACAGTTGAAACTTGAATGGCTCTCCGTCCTCGTAAGGTGATTTAATAGATGATGAAACACGTCTTCACTAAGCTTCTAAGTTTGTACTAAGCTTGTTTCCCTTCTGTGTATCAAGAGTATGGTTTATCGCGAAGTGGGTTCAGACCAAAACCCCCTGTTCAGAGGTTGAGCACCGACCAATCAGCGAAACTCCCATGCAACTTGTCCTCTAGCTTGTGAATAAGCTCTGAAGATATATTAAGCGGCAGGGTTACATTTCATGTAAATGCTTTTCCTTCTTGACTTCTATTTTTCATTTGGCTGGTCCATCAACAACTCACTAACATAACCATCCAATTCTCGATCTCCATCTTCCCTTCACCCCCGCAGTATCCAATTTTCAAAGTTGAGATTCTCGTCAACACGTTTTGCCTCATTGCGTTCGCCACCCTTACCGTGGCTGCGCCTCAGCGCCCTGACCTCAACCGAGATCCTGATAATAATGGCGACCGAATAGCACAGACGAAGCGGGTCGAGGATCTCCGCAACAAGGGCCTTACTTGCAATGAGGGTGCTCAGGAAGCTTTTATATGCTCTGATGGCCTTGGTGGCGACTGGTCAGTAAATCTACGCGAACACTGCCGCGCCTGCTACATGAGATAATTGAGATGGACGACTAACACTATATGAATAGTTTTATAAATATTTTCGGAGAAGGGAACTGCTTGATTTAAATAGTCTATCTGTATCATAAGCCGAGGCATTTCAGTATCCGAAATGCTTTCATGAATCGAAGAAATCCAACTTCCTCCGTCTCGCCGCTACGTATAGGCGGTAGAGTGTATTGCCCTGATGTCCATCAAGCCCGCGCTACTCTCTGCTTCATTACAATACCGCCAGATGTTTCACGAGTTCTGGGAAGCTTTATAGTGGTTTCCTTCAACATGGCCTTCCGTCGTTGCATTCCGTCGGTTTCTGTATGCTTCTTCTGTCAATCTGATCGCACGATCCTCAACAGGCCATGATTCACTAATAATGTGGCGATCTCTAGCCTGATAAGGGGCCGTCATGAAATAAGACCTCTCTTGTATGCGGAGGATACTATGCCCACCATCCTTCATTAAGTCTAATTCTAGAGGGTCTTGACCTTTACTTAGACCTTCTTCCCAGTTGCTCAGTATCAAGATGCTCTGTGATAGAGTCAATATGGCCAGGTTACAAACAAAGACTTGGGTCATGGAAAAAGAAAGAGTCTTCAAACGCTTCGGCAGAAGTCATTCCCCGCCACGTATTATACAAAGCCTTTAACATCTGCCACGGACCTTCTTGGGGTTGGCGTAGCACTTCCCTTCTCCATCGGCGCAGTCGTAGCCCTCCTCAGCGATCTTCCTGCAAGCATCCTCCCACTGATCACCGGCGATCTTGTCTTCAGTGGTGGCTTGGGCACACTACTCTCAGGTTAGTGTGCATCTCATTTATAAAAGGCAGTTTGACTTACGCGACCAGACGTCTCATTATAGGTAGCACCGCCCCACTAAAGGGTCAGTTAGCTGATAGGAGATTACTTGACTGTTGGTTACAAATGCATACCTCGTAGCCTTCATCGTTATACTCTGTGCATGCAGCGGCAGTCAAGCGCCAGTTGTAGCTATCGCCGTTGTGGCAAGCACAGTTGTCGTGAAGCTTCGCCGTCCTTTAGTCTTGTTAGACATCGTATTTCGACAGCCGGATTGATAGACTTACACGGCAGTAATGAGCAGGAAAGCGCTGAAAATCTTGGCAAACATGATGAATTCTGGTATTATTTGAGGAGATAGAAAGAAGTATTATTAGCTCGCAATCGTAGATAATTCGATGTAGATAATGAGTGACTGGAGGACAAAAGAGTGTCGAAGGTCCAAAACTGGTAAAGACTGTTGGTGATGGATGATAAGCCATTGACTATCAACGGACGTGCAGACACTTATAACACCTTATCTCAGAGATCATGCGTCCATCTTCTCAGCTGAACGGGTTTGTCCGAGCTTTCTCCATCAATGCAACGTCACTAATAGCCAGTACCAGCATCTACACGAATATTATGCCAACCTGAAACAATACCAAGGACCCTCCGAAAGATCAGCGCCAACATCCGACGAACCATAACGATATTCCCGCGGGCCTATATTCCAGAAACCTGCTTCTCATCCAATCCAAAGCATTCTATCTTGAGAAATACCCCAGCATCGGCAGTTCCGAAGATGGGGATAGAATATAGGGATGAAACATGTCATAAACTCTAATTCTCGCTGTCGGTGCGAAAATAGGAGAAGTTCATGACGCAGCCGAGGATTTGAAACCTCGGGATACGATTTTCCGTGTGGATCACCCGTCTGTATCCCTTGTGTGCACTGCCTTACTGGGCCAGAGTTACATAATTCGAGTGCATTGATAATGGGGTCCTTGTGTAATATGTGATTTTACGCATTGCCTTTTTGAGTCATGGAGGGCAGTCGAGATGAACTGGGTCCGTGATATCTGGAGATGGATGGGTTAAAAGATCAATGCGCCCCAGCTTGACAAGACTAGCTTTTATCAGCATCGAGCTTTCGTCGTTCATTCGTTTGTGCATCTAGCCAATCTTTACAGTCTTTACCAAGTCACTCATTCATCTGATTTGATCGCATCATTTTGCTTTAGCTGTCTTGCTTAATACTCGCATTTAATCACAACACTACTCAGCTTCCCCACCATGATCCCCTCCACGCTTCTCGCCCTCGTCAGCCTTGTCTCGGTTACCCAAGCCGCAGCCGCTCCCAAGATTCTTTCCGCCGACGATGTCATCGTTCTCAAGACCGATGGCACTTCTCAAGTCATGAAAGCCGCTGACCTCGAACGTCTCGAGACTGCCCCCGCTGTCAACACCAAGACTCCCTCGAAGCGAAACATTGAGCGTCGTGGTTGCGAGAGCACCGAAGTCCAAGTCCTCTCCGAGAAGGAGTTTCTCAACTGGGATGTCCCCATGTCTCCCGTCATCAGCAGTCTCGACGGTTCCAAGGCCACCGTCAGCGTCACTTCCGGCTTCACCATCGCCAACTCTCTCAAAGTAGGCGCTAGCTTCAGCATCCCTCTCATCGAAGACATTCTCACCACTTCGCTGAGCATTGACTACACCGAGACCTGGACTTCGAGCCAGCAGCAGTCTCTGTCTTTCCAAGTTCCTGAGAATCACCATGGTCTTATTGTCAGCCAGCCTTATGTCCGACGTGTTCAGGGCAATGTTCTTGATGGATGCGGTGATGAGATTGAGAAGACGGAGTTTACCTCGGATTCGTATGAGAGTCAGACTTATGGAAATCTTGAGTGGGTTAAGGGTATTATTCGTCTCTGCAGCAGCGAAACTTATCCCGTTCCCTTCTGCAATGGTGAGGGCGAGCACAAATAAGACTCTCTAGCATAGAGCTTGGGTCCGGTTCGGCGCGCAGGGTGGTTGAGCGCCTGTCGCAAGATCGAGCTCAAATGACACAATAATTCACATAATTGATTCCGTTATAAACTGCTGTACTTTTTGATTATCTGTAGACTGTTGACTAACTTGATGAATATTTCTTGCATCTAATCCTCTCTATTGAAAAGACTAGCATCCAGTGGCAGTCTTTCACCCATCCAGATCGCCCTCTCCAAATGATCCCTCTTCATCGACGCCCAGCGATTCACGCCCTTTTCGGGAATAACATTAGGGTGAACCAGAGCGGATAGGGGTCCTCTCCAAATAGCAAGCCACGCGACGAAAGCGCCGAATTGAGCGGGCGAGAATACATTGACTTCAAACATGGCGATAGGATGAGGTCCAATTGGCCCCTCCCAGAGCTTGTAGATTCGTAGTTCGGGGACTGAAGTTGATCATGTTAGCTTGTGGGCTTGATAGATGTTATTCAGGGTGGTACGACTTACACTCTCTTCGGATTCTCTCCCAAAGCTCCTTGGCGTACTTGACCTGCGTTTCGTTTGTTTGTAGGTAGTAGATATGAATGTCACTGATACCTGTCAGCTTGTCACGTGGTACTCCAAGGATTGATCTGACTTACAAGCCACCCCGATCACTTCGATCCAATGGATCTATAAACTTCTCGTATGCTTCGCTGAGCTTTTCTGACGGGGGATTCACATAGCTCTTCCCGTCTGCTGCTTTCTCGTCTGGCAATGGCGGGGCATTCTCATACCCAGTCAAGGGAGAGGGATATTTGAAGACTGAGGCGTCGCCCATGGTTCTTTGCTGGGCAATTGTGAGGGCGAGGTCAAAGTTTATTAGACTGATATAAAGGTAAGAATTGCTAAGGTTCTTTTGATGTTACAGTGAAGTAGCGTCTCTTTGTTCTTGGGGGCCAGATGCGGGGGATTTAAACTCGATTGTTGGTTGCGTGACTGTTGCTATTAATAAGCTGCGTGAGTCAGCAGCTGAAGTCCAAGCGGGATCGCCCGACGCGCGCGGCAATTAGTTACCCTACACTCTCCTGTTTTCGCCACGAAACCATTTCAAACGTCGGGTGGCACCAAAGATGGAACCTCTCAATCAATAACAACAAGCGCATAACACTTTTGCTAAATTTTGAAGATACAAAGAACTATCATGAGACACTCAGGAAACTGGGGATTTATAGAGGCTGCATCGTTGTTCTCTGAGTAGCCTGTCGAGACATCGTTGATCAAGTTTGCTACTAGATCCACGATTTGAGTATGAGGCGAGTTCTTCGCATATCGGATTTGAATTTAGACGATAGTAGATTTTGACAATGCGCCAGGGTTTATGAGGAGGAAGAGAAAATAAATCCATAGCCAATGGTCGTTATAATCAGGTAATTTAGCCAGGAAGCTCGAAAGAAGGAATATGATTGCTTGGGAATGGGTCGCTTCAGCCTCAGTAACACTTTCCCCAGGTTTGTTCGATCAATATGTCGCCATCTGTTAATTATTGAAAAGTATGTACAAGGAATTTGAATCACACCAGGACAGAAGAAACAATGGCTCTATGCATTTTCTTCGTGTTCTATTTGCAGCTCAAGCTGTCGGAGCAGCAACCGCAGCCTGGTCAATGACCAGATCAACCGGGGTCTGGTTAATACCCGTAAAGCCATCACCAACAATATACACCATTCTATCATCACCCTCCATACTAAAGTGACTCAAAGTATCCGTCGTTGCAGCGCAAGTTTGCTCACCACCACCTTGCTGGATACAGCTCAGCACCGGAACACTACATTGGAGGGCAGAACCCTCGGTAGGGACCTGGCAGTTCAGGAAGACTACGCCCTTGTTCGGATTCTCATTGTCGCTGGTACATGCGGTGATGTAGGCCTTGGTCGTGTCGCTGTTGTGGAACCATGCGCAAATGGACTTGGTGCCGGCTTTGATCTGCCCGGTGGCGGCGTCGATGTTGTAGTGCTGGGCGGGGAGAGTTACTCTTGAGCCAAAGTATAGGGGGGTGCCGAAGTTGTTGTCTGATCTGAGGTTGTTGTCGGCTGCGGGGCCGGAGCCGGCGATGATGGAGAATGTGGTGATTTCGGCTGGGGCGTCGGATGTTGTGGTTGTCGCGTCGGCGGTGGTGGTATCGGCTGAAGTCTCGGTGGAGGAGAAATCAGTTGTAGCAGCGGAGGTCTCTGTTGTGAAGAGTGTGGTTGAATCGGCAGATGTGGTGGTCAAAGCAGTGGTTGAAGTCAGACTAACAGTTACCAAAGACTCGGCCGAAGTTGACGTCTCAGTGACAGCGGATTCAACAGATGTAGATACAGTGGGTTCAGCCACGCTTGACGTCAAAGTTGCCGAAGTAACGATCGAGGCTGTACAATTCCCAATTAGCGCATGCTCTTTGCCAGATCCCTCACACAATCATACCTGATGTCAACGGCTTGCAAGGACTGGCAGCCACGCCAACAAGGCCGACGGCCAGAGAAAGAAACGCACGAGTATACATAGTAAGCGAAAGACTAAAGTTGGAATTGAGACACTGAGGGCGAAAGAATCAGGGACAATACGCAAATGGGACCTGCAATGTCTTTATGGCGTTGGGGCTTGGTGCTAGCGCGCTGTCATTAGTGAACTATCGATCTCAGCTGCACGCTAACACGATTAGCCCAAGACCATTGACAGGAAATGCAGGGGAAAATCAACGGTCTGCCAATAGCTTCATCTGGCTTTGCGATTTACGAGCATCCAATTTCTTTGTGCATAATCTGCGTTTACCGCATTAGGAGGATGAAAGAAGTTCGACGCAGTAAAAATGATATAGCTTTCCCAACCCATGCGTCGCATTTTACTATACATGTTGCTTTTGTTTGCTATAAACTATTCAGTGTTGAACATTCTGCAAGTGAACAGACTTGAGATATAATGTTGCTGACAGGAAAATAATTAGACTTTTTTTTCTTTCTTTTTTTTCTTTCTTTTCTTTCTTTCTTTTTTTTCTTTCTTTTTTTTCGAAAATATACAACGGCCTGGAAATGTCGGGTTTTATTTCAGCTAAGTTCTCTGTGCTGATATAAGCTCTCAGTCACAAAAGTCAACTGCAAATAACACAACTGGCTCACAAACTTAGGCTTTATTTCAGGCCTTGCGATCAGAGGCGGATGGCTCATTTGCCATTACTAGTCGAATTATATACGAAGTTCAGAGATGAGACTTAAGAACAAAGAAAACTATCGAAATCTCAGCAGCGGCGAGATATTGTAAGTACCCAGGCGGTGGTAGCAGTTCCCCGCTGATGGCCCTGATCACTGGTTTGTGGTCATCTCATCTTTACCTCATACCTCATACGGATGGCCCTTGAAAGCCTTCCATCACGCCCCAAGTGAGACTGTATAAATGTCCCAGCAAAGTTAACACATTTCCCAGGCGATAAGGCTTGACACTATCATAGGACTTCCGCCTCGTAGCAACTCGGGGTATATCCGCATCGTTCAAGGCCTCTCGCCTGCCGTACAACTTTGTGAGGAGCCTACTGCAACTCCAAAGTAAAACTAGGTTTGAGAGCCAGAAACCTCAACTTATATACTGACTAGATGGTCAGTAGGAATATTCCCTTGCCTCAAGCTCTGGCTTCCAGGCTTGCACATACAAAGCTTACGGCGAAGGGATGCCTGGCTGTACTACAGCCACTGAACAATGCGAGGCTCTGAAACTATACTAATACAAGTCGTAATTACGAAAAGTTCGATGCCCGGCCAAACGCATAGATGATTGCCACTGCTACTGCACAGTCTGCCTGCATCACGGTTATGGACGGAACAAATCTCGGCACCGGTATAGACCCCACTTGTTTTCTCTTTCGCTCTTCGGCATGCTATTCCACCAACTCAGATGGGGAAGACGAGGGCGGTAGTGTATCCTCGACTTTCAGGCACTCACGGAAATAGTGTTTAGTCACCAGCAAGGTCCATGATGTGATTATTGGAGACGAGTTGCTAGATACTATTGGAATCGCAAGAAGTACAGGCGGCCAATAACACCCTCTATATTTTGAGGTATTTTGACTGCGGCTTAGAGAGCTGAGATTCAGCTCTGCCAATAGAAACGTGGAGTCGTTTCGCCGGCCTCTCACCTGAAATGGGGATGAAAATAGAAATCAGGCTGGCGGCTAACGCAGCCCCCCAAAATAGTGCCATCGCTTACCATCTGTCAGGTTTTCTAGCTGGGGGTGAGTCACACGTAAGATTTCTATTTACTGTAATATGTGATTTTGTTTGACTTGGACCTTATGATCACTTTTTTATTGAGCACTCCTCTTTTCGTTGACAACACGACCTTGCTCTAATGCTCTTGATTTAACGATGACTAGTCAATTTATTCATGTAGTAATATAAAATGAAACCCAAATGACACGTGAACTACTGATAAGGAAACACACCGAACCCATCGAGCGCTTAGCGGCTGCATAGACAGCTCCGATCTGTGCATACACACTACTAAATCAGCAAGGTCCACAGAAGTAGTCAAGAAGCACTCACCATCTTCTTCGCCGTCCACTTGGCGCATTTTCTGCTACAATACCATCGTCTCTTGGTTGTATCTTCATACTCCCAGTCGATCCAGAACCCTCCATCACTACCATAAAAACCTCCGTCGCAGTCTTTGTGGACACACTGTGACGCGGTTAGCATGTCGTGCGCACAGCTGGATATACTTACTCCTCTTTCTTGTTCCCACTGTTATTTTAGGGATAATGTTAGATTGCTTGATTGCTGGTGGTAAATGGGAACTTACGTCAGGTTGGACGTAGTGGCAGCCGCAGCGAACCCAGCCTTTATAGTTTGGGTATCCGTCGTCCCAGCTGATGGCTTCCATCGTTATTGATGTGTGGAATAGGTGGAGTTTTTGGGGTTGCATTGTGCAAAAAATCAAAGGGGGAAGGCTCGTCCCCTTAAATAATGGTCTGTCCTGGTCCTGTGCAATCGTGCCGCTGTCAACATTCTTGTGCCGTACAACCCGGCCCTGGCATTTTGGGGCTGAGACCAGATTTCAACCCTTTGCGGGTGGGATGTGTAATCTACAGTTGCACTTCTACCACACCAACAGCCTTTACTCCCAATCAGTTCCTGCAAAGCATTGGTCACAGTGCAACGTTTCAGGTGGGCGGGAAGAAGGCTGACACCGGGACTTTACATTGGCTTCATTACTGGAGGCCAAGCGTTAGTGTGTAGATTCCTGTTGGCTCAGAATTTTGGTACTTGTGTGAGTAACCGCTCTGCTCCTAGCCATACCTTTCAATTAGCCGCGGCCACTGTTCTTTTGTTGCATTTAGTTCAAACCAATCACAGCAGAGTCTTTCGCGGCACCGCTCTGTTGCTCTGTAAAGCATGAAACAACGACCAAGATAACTGTGCATGATTTCCTGACTTGAGTATTTGAGAAGAGATGCAGTAGAAGATCACGTTGAGAATGCTAACTAGTTCTCTTTTTCTGATGACTTACAGCCTGAAGTCTCTTAACATCCCGAGGCTAGCTTATGGAGGCGGGATCTGACATAGGCTGCACATTTAAGACTGATTTCGCGCAGGGTTGTCTAATGACACCGATTCGTTGAAACGCATGATCTGGTTTATAACATGAGATTTTGCAGCCTCACCAGTGCAAGCGCATTTCAAGTGCTTGGTAGCGAAACAAAAAAACACAAGACCGTTAATAAAAGATTTTATCCTTATTTACCTTTTTACTCTTGCTTTCTAGCCAACTTGTAATATTACTATTTTTGGCTTTAGAAGAGAAAGGTTAACTGCCTACCATTGCTACAGGTTAGCATTAGAAAGCTTCAGTTTAAATTAATATGCTCAATGGCGTTTTACTCCTTGCTAGACTTTATAAGCTCATATAACAACACCTTCTCCTAATAAGGACCTTGGATTGGTTTGTCCGATTTCTTTCGGAGACTAAACCATAGAGTTCAAGATATCGATATTGTGGCTTGACATTCTGCTTCATCTGACCGCCTGTCAGCTCATCAACCCCGCTCGACCTTTCACCAATGCATCTATCACGAAATCATGCCAAGCATTTTATCCCGGCCCCGAAACCATGGTTGATCCCATATCTATCATTGGCCTAGTGGGTCAAATTTCAGATTTAATTCAACGAGCGTACAACTACGGCAAAGCAGTCCACGATGCTCAAAGTGACATGCGCAAGCTCTACACAGAGCTTCTCGGTCTCAAAGGTGTCTTGGAGCAGCTGGAGAAACTAGACATCGCTTCAGCAGAACCACATATAGCCGGTTTAATACGCTCAAAAGAGTTTCGCAAGACTTTATCTTCGACTTCGGAGCTTGTAGCTCGTCTTGTTGAGAATTTGAATAAGAAGCAGACTTCATCTCGTAGGGTTAATGCATTCTTGTGGCCGTGGGTGAAAGATGATGTGAAAGCGGATATTCAGGATCTCGAACGTGTGAAGACTTGGTTTATTGTGATGATGATGGCTGAGAACTCGTAAGTCTTTTAATTCCTTATACCTAGGATTGAGTGTCTCTGATTGCACTAGGACACAAATGGAAGTCTTGCTGATTGAGTCGCATGAGATTTTAAATATTGCTAGAGAAGGTCAAGAGAAGGGGAAGCTTAAAGATGAAGGTCTGCATCCACCATGCTACAGCTCGCTACCGCTCACGTTTTGAACAGAAGAAAAGAGAGAAAAGATCAGGGAATGGATACAACCGTTCAGTCCCAAACAGCTACACGCGAAAGCAATCAAAAAGAGGATGGAATCTACTGGGTCGTGGTTCTTGGACGGCGACTTCAAAGCTTGGAGGGACGGTGGTGCAGGCTCCCCAAGAATCCTCTGGCTTCGCGGCAAATGTAAGCCGACAGCCCTTTCATGTGCTGAATCTTGCGCTCCTTCTAACCCATATATCTGTAGCTGGTTCCGGAAAAACAACATTGCAGTAAGTCAAATCACCGATTTCCTGTCACCGATGCTGAAATGGATACCAGTGCTGCTGCAGTCGAACATCTCAAGTCATATCAGCAAAAAGACCCCAAAATCGGCCAAGCTTACTTTTACTGCTCCTTTGATGACAGGGAGTCTCAGCAGCCTCTCAACATCCTGGGGTCAATTCTTCATCAACTCTCAGAACAGCATCCCGAAGCCCTCGAAGGCATCGACCAGTTGCGCAAGTCAGGCGAGGTCTTGGGTGAGAATTCCATACTCAATTTAACCTCGCAATACGTGTCGAACTTTGACAAATTCTACATTTCAGTTGATGCTATCAACGAGAGTTTCAGCTGTATCGAGGTGTTTGAGATGCTTCTACAACTTGTTACCGAGAACTCAAACGTGCGACTGTTTGTGACAGCTATATCGAGCTGTTCACATTGGCTAGAAGATCTGCAACTGGAAGAACCACCAGAGATGATCGAGGTAGATATGGGTACAGAAGACGTTGATAGAGATATCGACTTCTACATCACCACGAGAATAAGCGGAGAGCGTCTCCTCAGACGACTCAGCAATGAGACAAAACTAGAGTTGCGTGAGAAAGTACTTGGTAACGCCAAAGGAATGTGAGCAAACCTATACCATAAACCTTGTATGTGCCTCTTTTCTGACGTTTTCAGGTTTCGGTACGCCCAGTGCCAACTCGACTCCCTCAGCACTCTCAGAACAGCCAAAATGGTTTTCAACGCCCTATATGATCTCCCAAAGGATATTTACGAAGTATACGAAAAGATTCTGCTTAGCATCCCCGAAGCAGATAGACTTCTCGCTAGAGAATCGCTATTCTCCCTCTCCGTAGCGCTGCGACCACTTACGATACAAGAACTGGCAGAAGCTGCAGTTCTAGACGATTACGAAGCACGTATCGACGAGGAGTGCAGACTGCCCGAGCCCATGGTGTTGCTGGAGATATGCCAAGGCCTTGTGGATTACGACGCAGCAACAAGCGTGGTTACGTTAGCCCACTCATCGGTTCGGGCGTATATCACCTCCAGCCGCACGGGCGAAGGAGATGTTGCCTGGTTCAGCTACAATATCCCAGGCATACACGCCTATATGGCCAATAAGTGCTTATTGTATCTACTTCTTGAGAGCTTTCAAGACGGTTGCTGCACCAACGAAGAGCTTGAGAAGAAGTATCAGGAGTACCCTCTTCTTAGCTACGCTTCTCGATATTGGCCCCTTCACGCCAGACTATCTGACAACTACGGACGTCAGGAGGACTCTGCTATGACATTTTGTCTGAGTTCTAAAAAGGCTGGTGGGGGAAACTTTAGCTTCTGGGTTCAGTGCCTAATGCCCGATGCATCGAGAGAGGCTATCATGGCAAGCGAGCCTCTCTACTACGCTTCTTCTTTCGGTCTTGCGGGCCTTGTCAAAAGTCTTTTGACGTCTCAAGGTGTGGATGTTGATGCGCGGGGTGGTCGATTCAGATCCAGCGCGTTGCATGTAGCATGTTACAGAGGGCACGTTGAAATAGCTCGCCAGCTGCTCGACTGCGGCGCAGATATCAACCTCCTTGACAGTGATGACCGCACCGCATTGTTCTGGGCAAAGAGACTAGGACGGAAGGAAATCGTTGATCTTTTGGAGGATCCCAAATATGCGCAAACGAAAAGTCGCAGTGTCGTGACACTCTCGGAGGATATGGACTACCCGATGTGGTTCTGCTGTGGTTGCAATGGCGGACCCCAGCGGGGAAGATTCAATCACTGCCGGGGCTGTCGTAGTCATGAAAGGTGCGAGAAGTGCATCAAACTAGCTGGCTTGATGGATGTTGAAAACGTTCCTGAGTCGCAAAGTCGCTGGGTATGCTGTAATTGTGAGGCGGGACCTATAAAGGTTGAGACGAAGGAATGTCGGGATTGTGAACATGAGAAGTGTCGTAGGTGTTGGGTCTTTAACGCTTTCATTTGAATTTGACATGGTTGATATAGGAAGTGACAATAGTATAGGTACTATTGAGTATTATGTTTCGATTCGCACACAAGAAATTATTTGATGTGCATAGCATAACTCAGCATCCCCAAGCTACTTTACCAGAAGGAAGGCACCAAGTAATTTATATATGGAATGGGATATTGTGGCTTTAATACCAGCAATACCTCCGAAGGATCCAAACTACAGAGGATATCAAAAGGTTCAACTATCCCCCATTATTATACATTTAAACAAAGTGGTAATAGGCAATGATGAGATAATATCTGTGCCCTTAGATGAAAACTCCGCTAAATAATAATAGTAATTATCTAATAAAGCGCCTTCTTAACCGTAGCAAGCTTTGGAATATTGTTTACCAGAGCTTTTCTGTGTGCAACAAACTGTGTTTATTTGCAGTTGAGGCCTGTGACTGTGGGCCTAGAGTATGTAACCATATAAAACCTAGCGTGCAAAAACCTAGCCAGTATCACTTCTGAGCTTATATGGAACGCGCGGGATCCGCATACCGACTTTACACAGAGACATCAGATACGGACCGCAGAGCGACCGAAGATCCGAACTGCTGAAGGCTAGGCATTTACGGAACCTGACGTCGCCAACTCCGCAGCGTAAACTCCGCATCCAAAAAAGGAAACCCCCAATATCAATAGTTCAAGACCACCGTGGGCCATATTATAAACACTAGAGGGCTCATTTTATAAGAACCATAGACCTTCTCTACACAAGTCCCCCCTTACATAACAGACTACTCCAAGTCAACTATCCGTTCTTAAGATTCATCAACATGGCCATTGTTGCTATTGCCGGAGGTACAGGGGGGGTAGGAAAGACCATCGTTGAGCATCTACAGCATCACGGGGCCCACAAACTCTTCATCCTCGGCCGCAAGGTATACAGCTTACACTTCATCATAACGCGGGCCAGACTGACTCTGATCCATAGGCTCCAGCTGAGAGTACTCCTGAGTCTCCGACATTTCTTGTGGTGGACTATTCCAACGTCGAGGCCCTTACCATTCTGCTAGAAGATCACAAGATCGATACAGTGGTATCTGCCATTAATCTCGAAACCGACGCGGGCGGCCAGTCACAGCTGAGCCTCATTGCTGCAGCAGACAAGTCTCAGACCACGCGACGGCTTATTCCAAGCGAATTCGTTACCCCAATTGACGAGGAGTAAGTCGTAATAACAAATAGTAACTCGCTTACTCACATGAGATGATAGTGACCCGAGTTCGGGCCCTGGCATCGGAGGTTGGATTACGAATGCCAGAGCGCTCAAGCAGACGAGCCTCGAGTACATCCGCATCTCGATTGGATTATTTTCTGATTACTGGGGCATGCCTCATATCAAGAGCAACCTCAAGACTTTCCGATGGCTCCTCGATATAGAAAAGGGTATAGCCGTGATTCCTGGCTCTGGCAATGAGAAATTCACAGTCACTTACAGCGAAGATCTCGCCCGATTCATCGTTCGCCTCATTGATACGGATGAAAAGTGGCCTCAGCGCGGATTCTTGTCAGGCTCTGATATCTCTGTTAATGAACTTATCGAGGTTGCCGAAAGAATCCGAGGTATGCATTCTCTCTTTCTATCCAGTTCTTTCTAACATGAAAGCGCAGGCTCCAAGATGAAGATTCTATACGACCCTGTGGATAAGCTGGAACAGGGTGACGCCACACTGCTATGGCACCCCGAAGAGGTCACCGAGGATGAGTTCAAGCCCTTGCTGGCGGGGCTGTGCCGGATGATCATCGTCGGCGCTTGTATCTTGCCCGACGATGACCACCGCCTTGACAAGCGCTTTCCAGATGTTCCTCTTACGTCTGTGGAAGAGATCATCGCCAAGGCTTGGGGTGGCAAGTCCTTCTCTGCCTAAACGACTTGTTCATGATGAAGCCAGCGGCTGTGTGAAAGAGCCTGTGTAAGTGGCCGCGCCAGGCTGGCAATGGACTTTTGGCGAAATCTGGCTGGCAGCATATCTTCCTAAATGTGGATATCGTTTCAGTAGTATAGTTCTTGAACAGAATCGATAGAAAACAAGCTGTCGCCTTCATAAGCCCTTTGATAAATGCCACTGCTCTTAATCACTGCCTGTCTCCGAAAATTGAAGGTTGAAACCAAGACCCGAATTCTTCACTAGAATTCAACCCTTCCAGGTCACCCCAAAAGATCCCTTCCTGTCTCAAATCCATACCCCCAATTTGCACATCGGGCCCGTACTCCATTTGAGTATCGAAGCTCTGCATTTCAGTATTCATCTGCGTCTCCCCTAGCATGGGGACCCCTGCCTCGGCAAGGAGTACCCCGAAGAATGGTCGCCCATGCTGATGCTGATGTTGGCTAGAGCCCGATTCGCCAACGTATTTACACGCTACGCTATACATGAGCTCAAACACACGGCGCTGCTTACCATAGATATCTGGAGTCTCACGGGGAAGAATCTGCAGCGCCCGAACAACAGCTGACAGATTCTCAAGATGGCTCGGATCCCGTGTCTCAATCGCGTGGCAGAAAAGCACTATGAATGGCACAAATGGTGCCGCCAAAAGAGCCCTAGGTAGCAAGCCGTTAGACATATAAGGGGTAAGGATTATGCGTTTACGACTTGCCATTGCACGTAGAGCTCAACAGTACTAGGTTCGGCATCTTGTAGTAGCGAAAAGGCTTCTTTGTGTTCCTCAAGACACTGCTTGGCTGAAGACAGGCATTCATTGCAGAATGCGGAGCCAGTATTAGAACTGGGCTGTATACTTCTGTATATCAGTGTGATGATGGCCAGATGAGAGATCCTATCTGCACGCTTGACAAGCCTGGGAAGCAGATCATCTGGATGCTCGGGTAATTCTTCTATGAAGGACTCCTGATATCCTGTATTAGAATGTGTCATATATCAAGATGTTGCGTTGGCCTACTTCAACTGTATCCTTGCTGTCAAATAGACCATCGAGTTCAACAGCTAGTTCCCGAGCTCTAGTTTCCCGTGGCGTCGACGGTTGTAACAGCGCGCCAGGACTGAATATCTCGTCGTATATCCTGCCGTACAGCATACCCATCTTGATCCATTTCGGAGCAATGGGTAGTGAGGAATCTACAGCCGTCTCACCGTAGCTTTCGTATGATACGGTGATGTCTCTATCTCGGAGGAGTGGTGGTCGGTTCAGACGCAAGGCAAGAAGTTTGTCCATTATGTAAACCAGCCAAAAGAGCCGAACTCTTCGCTGCCGCTCTTGTTTCTTCTCTGGTTTACTAGGTACCTCACGATGATACCCCAAGGTGAGACAGATCTGTGCAGCAGCTGCGAGGTAGGTCCAAGCTTGAGACATGCTGCATCGCTGGACGAAATAGGTGGTCTATGTGAATGTCAGCTTCTGCAATGCGTGCCTCTGGTTCTGCAGCCATACAGTCATGAGAAGAGCGAGGGCAAAGTCATATGTCGAAGGGATACTAAACGGCAGATTGGCTAGAATTGACTCCAAATTCTGTTGGCATAGTGAGGCTTGAGACTTGATATCTTCTTGCGACGTCTTGTCCTTTTGCTGTTTTCCATATGGTACAAGGAGGTTGTGCAGACCGCAATGGACAATGATGAGGTCAGCCAGCGACGGAGTCCCAGAGTACACGGTGAAGAAGTAATCGACAAACTGGCCGACATCTATCTCCATGCACCAGCAGAACCTAAGATGAGACGACTCTACGACCGTAGTCAGCTTGGCTTGCAACGAAAGATGCCGATTTGTGAACCAAACCTGCCTTTGAGCGTATGGATCGCAGCCATAGCAAGTTGAATGGGAGGCAGCGTGAAGTGGTGCTGAGTCGCATCGGCCGAGATTCCATGGGTCTCAGGCGGCTTCGGATCCCCATGACCAGGCCCCCTTTCTTTGAGCTCATCTCTCAACGCGTCTAAGCACGGCCTGACATCTGGCGAGACCTGTTGCAGATGGCTACTATCAACAACCTTCTGCGCAAACTTGGTGGCAAACGCAGCTTGCGTGGCCAAGACAGCGTCTCTCTGCAGCTCCGAGCCGGAATGATCCTCAACGGGTGTCTTGTGAAACAGAGCTGAGCCTGCCAATGACAGGGGCGTATTTTCTGCAAGGTTCGTTCGCGTACTGGGGGCACTAGTATCTATTTGGCCAAAGGAAGATTCAAGATTCTCGATGGATGCAAGAACCTTGTCGAGCTTTACTGAAAGATGGTCGATTTTGGACTCGCTTTGGGATGTAAGTTTCTGCATCTGATGCATAGAAGAAAAGGAGGTACAGACTATCCATCAGACACAAGTGCACGCTGTCTCTTGGCTCGAGGTTTGGCTGACGTAGGATACACGCACTGCTCTCGTCTTCGTGAGCAGGGCCCACAGGGGATACCTCGATCGCAGCGCACCTGTCACAGAGGGGTCAGCATCGGCACCACAGGAATGAGCATATGGGCCTAGTAGGATAGCACCTTGCGCTGGCGACATTGATCACACTGTAGAGGTGTCAGTCAAGCGGCCTCCGGCTAGAACAGGGTCTTACTGAAAGAGGATGGGCTGTCTTTGTAGCGGTGTCAGAGCATGCATCGTCGCCTGGATCGCTGTTCAGGGCGTCTTGTTGCATTCTTTTTCTTTCGATGAATATGTCGTTGTAAGAGTTCGGGACATCGGTGCGATTTTCGCCCCGAGGTTAATTATTTATTAGCGAAACCGAGCGGAGTTTGGTTGTTTAGCAAGCGGAGAAGACCACCCAATGACATAATGATTTTATCCACCTTCGGTCCTTCGGTGCCACCGAGACGCGAGCATCATACACTACAATCCGTAATGGCCAAGCAAAGGCTCGGGCAGAAGTTATCTTTCAAGGGCCGAACATGACTGCTATGAGATGAGATGGTTTAAATGCTCCCTTATTTTTATTGACAGCATCGTATATGTTACTTATCGTATCTAACTTGAGACAAATTGACCAGAATTCATTCATTACCTTCCTTCTTTTTCCCTTTGATACTTCTTAAAATCGCATTAACATCACCATCTTCGTTTCCTTATTAATATATACACATCTTGTCCAGAATTTCTTTCGCCTCCTAGAAATCATGGCCTCTGCCGTGGTGGAAAAAGAGGCCATTGAGCTTGGTGATGCGGCGGCAGCCATCGAGCGAAGGTCACCTCCAGCTGCCAGTTTGACCCAAGAAAAGAGATCCAGTTTCCAAGATTACATTGTAAGTTAGCCTCCTCTCGTGCCCTACTCATTGATTCTGACGTAGCTAGCGCATCGCTCATTATGGCCGCCCAGTCGATTACCTCCTTGGATCCATCGGAATCCTCGCCGCTATAGGCTCTGGCGTTGCCTTTGCCATGGTGAACCTCATCATCGGAGACTTTATTTCCATCATGACCGACTTCACTTCCTCCGGGTCTGCCCCTGATGGCTTTATGTCGCAAGTCTCCAAGTCTGCGTAGGTCCACTCCACTGCACCAGCTTGCGCAGCTAACACAATAAGGCTTTACTTTGTTTACATCGCCATCGCGAGATTCATCTGCACTTATATCTACTCGTCGCTCCTTACGTACACGGCCCTCAGAATCACCCGAAACCTGCGATACGAATACCTAAAATCAGCCCTTGGACAGGAAGTGGGCTACTTCGATCAAGGCGCCAGCGCCTCGATTTCTATGCAGGCCACTTCGAACGGCAAGTTGATTCAGTCTGGTATTTCCGAGAAGCTGGGTCAAGTCTTCCAAGCTATCGCGACCTTCTTTGCCTGTTTTGTAATCGCGTTTATCAGCCAGTGGAAGCTTACCCTTATCCTGATGTCTATCGTTCCCGCGCTCCTCATCATTGTGGGGATTGTTGGTGGCTTAGACGCCGCCATCGAGACAAAGATTCTCAAGCTCTATGGGCAGGCCGGTTCGTTTGTTGAGATTGTGCTTGCCAGTATCCGGACCACTAAGGCCTTTGGGCTCGCCCCAAGAATGTCAGACCAATATTCTAACATCCTCCATGAGGCACGAGTACTTGGCGACAGGAAGAATGCGCTCTATAGTTTCATGTTTGGAGGTGAGTATTTTGTCATCTTTGCTGGAATGAGTCTTGCATTCTGGCAAGGTATCAGCATGCTTGCTCGAGGAGAAGTTTCAAAGATAGGTACAATCTTCACGTAAGTCACCCCGTCTCCTCCAGACTCTAAATACAGAGCATCAAGCACTATAGCTTGCTTATTGAATGCTTCACCCGCCACTCAAATCTAACTCATTCTCACTAGGGTATTGTTCTCTATCATATTGGCAGCTTCGACCCTCAACTCTATCGCCCCTCACATGGTTACGTTTAGCCGTGCTGCAACAGCTGCTGGAGAATTATTCCAGTTGATCGATCGAGAGTCACGCATCAACCCCTTCGACGACTCTGGAGACAAACCAACCACTACACAGGGTTCCTTGGAGCTCAAGGATATCGTTTTTAGCTACCCTTCCCGCCCTGGCACTCGCGTTCTCAATGGATACTCACTGTCTATCCCGGCTGGCAAAGTTACGGCGCTAGTAGTAAGCAGTCCTTCACTCCATTCCTTATCTTTCTTACGGTTTTTCCAGGGCCCCAGCGGATCTGGAAAGAGTACTATCATTGGCCTCTTGGAAAGGTGGTACATGCCAACGTCTGGCTCCATTGAGCTAGATGGTAGAAGTCTTGAGGACCTCAACTTGAAGTGGCTCCGAACGAATCTACGACTTGTCCAGCAAGAGCCTGTCCTATTCAATGGTACGATCTACGAGAATATCTGCACTGGATTGATAGGTACCCCATGGGAACACGATTGTCCAGAAGAGAAACTTCGCCGAGTACAGACCGCAGCTCAAACCGCCTTTGCCGATGGTTTCATCCAAGCACTTCCCCAAGGGTATGACACCTGTGTCGGTGAGAGAGGCAGTCTATTATCAGGCGGCCAGAAGCAAAGAATTGCTATTGCTCGCAGTCTAATATCTGAACCAAAGGTCCTTCTTCTTGACGAGGCTACCAGTGCCCTAGACCCTTATGCCGAGAGTGCTGTTCAGAAGGCACTCGATGCAGCTTCTAAAGACCGTACGACTATTGTTATAGCTCACAAGCTTAAAACGATACAGAATGCCGATAACATCGTTGTCATGGACCGAGGTTCCATAATTGAGCAGGGTCGCCATAGTGATCTAGTTGCTCGTGGGGGCACCTATGCCAAGCTGGTGCAATCACAGGACCTTTCAACTGCCAGCAGCGATGACACATCTGACACATGCTCTGAGATAGCTGATGAGGATATCGTTCTGGCACCTACGAATTCCCTGCAAAAGGGTCAAAGCGCGACTGACAAACTCCCTACCAGCACCAATCTCCAGAACTATGACCTACACCAAGGTACTGGTATTTTCCGGACCGTCTTGAAACTTGTCGGATTAGTTCCTGAGATAAGACTGTGGATTCTGCTCGTGGCAGCCACATGCATCGTGGGTGGTAAGTATTTCGTCCTCGCTTGTGAAAGACAGCCTTTGACTTGTGTTTAGCTGGCGTTTACCCTGGCCAGACGATTCTTCTCGGACGGGTGATGGATGTTCTCAAAGCAGATGACATGCAGAAGCAAGGCAACTTCCTGGCGCTCATGTTCTTTGTTATGGCACTTGGCTTGATCATCGTCTACGGTATCCTAGGCTGGGCCACCAATGTCGTTTCCCAGGTACACTCCCTCGCACCAACCGCACCCTCTCCTATCATGACTCTAATTCTGGATCTAGACTTTTGCTCAACGCATCCGAGAGGATCTGTTTTCTTCCATAATCCGCCAAGACCTTGCCTTCTTCGATCGTCCCGAAAATACAGTTGGTGCACTGACCAGCAGAATCGACTCGTACGCCCAGGCCATCTTTGAGCTCATGGGGTTTACGATTGCTATTATCACAATGGCACTGGTGTCAGTATTTGTCTGTGGTATACTGTCAATCGCTTTCTCCTGGAAACTCGGACTTGTGGGCGTGTGCGCTGGAATTCCTCCAATGCTTATAGGAGGTTATGCCAGGATACGTCTCGAGACCAAGATGGATGCCGACATGGATGCAAACTTCTCCAGAAGTGCTTCTCTTGCTTCCGAGACAGTTACTGCTATAAGGACAGTCTCGTCTCTCGCTATCGAACAAAATGTGCTTCGGAGGTATACTTCTGAGCTTGATACAGCCATTAATCGATCCAGAAGCTCCCTGTTCCAGATCATGATCTGGTTCTCACTGACACAGTCAATCGAGTACCTCATCCTAGCTTTGGGATTTTGGTACGGTTCCAAGTTGGTTTCTGAGAATCAGATCACCTTCTATCAGTTCTTCGTCTCATTCATGGGGGTATACTTCTCTGGCCAAGGAGCAGGCCAGATGTTTAGTTTTGCAAGCAGTAAGTCTCCAGACTGCCTCTATACACTATCTAGCTGCATGGGTTGGCTTTCTCATGCTGCAACGGCCGCGTTTTCAGTTTGAGTCATGCCTTCAGAGCTTTATCGCTAACCGTCGTAAAAGGTTTCACCAAGGCTAACTCAGCTGCCAACTACTTCTTCTGGCTTCGCGATCTCGAGCCCACTATCCAAGAGACAATTGACAACATCGACAACGCCCCCGCTGATGGTTGTAAGTCCTACGACTTGAAGGACCTCGAGTTTTCATACCCCCTTGCTCCAAACAACCGCGTGTTGAAGGGCTTGTCTCTCAAGGTGAGCACGCTACATCTGCTCCCTCGTTCATGGGTCTAATATTTGTCAAGATCGAACCCGGTCAATTCGTGGCATTTGTAGGCGCATCAGGTAAGTCCTTCCGTTATGGTCAAATAGCATCGATCTGACTTTTCTTTTCCTCAGGATGCGGTAAAAGTACCATGGTCTCGCTCCTTGAACGATTCTACGATCCTACAAACGGCAAAATCACGATTGATGGTACATCCTCATTAGCCGATCTCAACCCTCGATTGTATCGTGCAAATGTGTCCCTTGTCCAGCAGGAACCGACTCTCTTCCCAACCAGCATTCGCGAGAACATTGTCATGGGCGTTGATCAAGCATATGGCGACTTGGCTGAGGACGGAGTGAGTGACAAGATGGTCGAGGCTGCTTGCCGAGCTGCCAATGCATGGGACTTTGTTAGTTCCCTACCGGACGGCCTAGGCACGCCTTGTGGAACAGGCGGGAGTCAACTCTCTGGCGGCCAAAGACAACGCATCGCCATCGCCAGGGCTTTAATTCGAAACCCCAATGTCATCCTTCTCGATGAAGCTACCAGCGCTTTAGATACGGAGTCTGAAAAGGTGGTTCAGGCTGCTTTGATAGAGGCTGCGACATCTGGAAACAGGATCACTATCGCTGTGGCCCATCGATTGTCTACGATCTTCCATGCTGATTGCATATTTGTATTTCATCATGGTCGAATTGCAGAGGCAGGATCGCATGTGGACTTGATTGCTCAGGGCGGGTTATACAAGAAGATGTGTGAGGCGCAGAGTTTAGAAGCTTTAGCTGCTTGAGAGCGACTGCAGATAGAAGCTTGGATTTTTGTGCCTTATAAACCTTTTCTTTCATAACAGTTTAACCTTCATCTAAATCAATACAAGACCATAATGCTGGCAGCAAATGCCACTACCTGGCTTAGCCCCTCAATGCGCCCGAAACTGTTGTGGAGTGGTTCAAGCACGCTTGGGAGAAGATCAAGAATGGGCCAACAAGACAGCCAATTGGTTCGTTGGAGCCTGGAACACGGTCAAGTCGTGGTTTGGCGCCAGGGATCTTGTTAATTCATCACACTCTGATTGGTACCGTGTTGGCTGGGGTCTCGGCAATGACGGATCGAAGGCAACTTCTGAATGGGTCGCTAGGGACTTCCATATCACCCCATATCGCTTGTACAAGCAGCAGGTCACTTTCCCTTACACCTTTGAACTTGGTATTCGCGTTTCTAGCATGAAACCTGCGCGTACGTACGAGTTTGCTACTACGGAACCAGGCATCTATACTCAGACGGCGCTGTGGAATGCAGACTGGTCGGTTGGTTTCAATGATCCATCTGATGAGCCCAGAGTAGTTGAAATCCGTACCCAGAACGGCTGATGGGCTACCCAGAGGGCTCGCCTGGGATGTTCGGATTCAGTCATTACGGGTCGTTTACACAGAGCAAAGAACCCACTACCAGGCATGTAGTGGCAGAGTGCAATCAGGAATGGCATTGCGGTCCAGAACAATAATGAAGGTGAGGAGGAGGAGCAATTATTGCAGGTAGAGTGTCGAGGGTTTAACCGTGGAGCTTGCCACTCGCTCAAGTAGTTTGAGAGCTTCCCATAGCCTTTCTTTCATAGATAAAACCACAGAGTCGCTCGCTATCTATTCTCTCTCATGGAACATAACGAGGGTGAGGATTATGTTGGCTCTATATCAATAGTGATTTCACTTGAATTAAATGAGCAAGCATGGTGCAATGAAAAAAACCTAAGTGTTGATATTCTATTCTAACTTAAATAACCGAAAACAACCTCGATACCTATCATTACATTATTAAAAAGGAAAAGACCAGTAAGCGAAATTAGCACTATCCGATAACCCGCACGACTCTATGTGTTCTTAGAAACTCCTGGGGCGATGATTTCCAGCTTGTCTACCAGCTCTTCATACAACGCAATCTGGATCTTTGCGCCAGTCTTGTTCGTGACATGGCAAGCAGGACTAATAGCATATTAGCTTCAAGGAACTCGTTCCCGTATGAATAGCTACTTACTCGCGAACTTGACAGTTATTAATATATTGTCCGTTGCTTTCCTGACCAGCGAGAACTCCAGCGACAAGCGCACGACTGCCCATTTCTGTTGACCGAGCCATAAAATCTGGTGGCGTAGACTCTTGCTTCTCGCGGAGAAGACCAGACTTGCAGTAGCTTGGGTTCGGAGCATTGATAATGACACTTGACTTCTCGGAGGCGCTGAGACGAGCTGCGATCTCACGGGTGATGTAAAGAACGATGAGTTTGCTGACGTAGTATCGAGATTCCATGATGGACTTTTCAGGATTGTTGAGTCGTGAGAAGATCTTGCCGGCTTTCTCATCGGGGATCAGCTCTTTGATGGGGGCCCAGTAATGCGTTGCCGAGTTGGGAATGACGAATTTGCCAGGGTATGAAGACTTCTGAAGTTTTGGGAGAAGAAGAAAGAAGAGAAGAAAAGTCGAGATGACGTTGACTGTGATGGTCCTCTCATTGTCCTCAGCCATCGAGAACTCGTCAGATGTTGCAAGGCCAGCATTGGCTAGGACGACATCAATGGTGGGCAGCTTGGCAATCGCCTGAGCAGAAAATGACTTGACAGATTCGTAGCTCGCCATGTCAAGATGCCAAACCTCAATGGACTCTGGAGATCGCTTCGTCAACTGGAGGAGCTCCTTTCGAGCCTTTTCGCCCTTGTCAACGCTACGAACAGCCATGATGAGTTTACCGACTCCAAGGCGGAGAAGATGTTGGCTGGCTTCGAAGCCAAGGCCTGTGTTGGAGCCGGTGACGATCATGATTTTGTCGGACAAGTCATCTTTTGTTTCGGGATATGGGAGATTGATGAAGAGGTTGGATAGGATGGTACCGCTGATACCGTAGAGACTTGAGGCGATCGACATGGTTGCTGTGAATGTAGACAGGGAACTCAAGTTAGAAATAAGATCTAAGTAAGTTATCGAGATTGTTTTATTGATGTGAGTGATTGATTGTGATGATACGAGAGAATGTTGAACAGCCGTCGTCGTTCTTATATATCGTATATGGAGTCCGAAAACCCCATGACTGAAGTGGATTTAATATCTCCGCTTATACCAGCAGCCAATGAAAATAGCGCGGGGTCATTAAATCCGCCCCGTCTCCGATCTCCGTCAGCATTTGCTTATCTCCCTTGATCCAGCTACATCTCGCTTCAACAAGCATTAAAACTGGTACAAATCATGATTGGAGCAGGTAAGCTCGCACCAAAGACGAGAATTTGACCTCATAACAGACCCTGATATGCTCCAGGCAAGGTTGAGAAGCGGAACCGACCGCCAAAGTCCTGCGAGCCGTGTCGGACACGAAAGTGAGTCTCAGCGCTGGTAAGTGGAATAAATGATGGCGCTGACTTGGCTAGGTTGAAGTGTAATAGGAGTCTACCTTGCGACTCATGCATCAAAAGGAACAAGCAAACGCTCTGCCACTATGCTTCCAACGCTGACAGACACGATAAGCGCGGCGAGAAGAATGAATCTGTTGCTGATCGGCTCAAGAACCTGGAGAGTCTGATTGCTACGGTGGCTCAGGAGAGCCAGAAGAAAGATTCATTGTCTGCGCTTTCTCTCAATGAGAACTCACTTCAAAAGGAATATCAAATACCGAGTCCAAGAAATGCTCAGCCTTCTCAAAACTTCAGATCAGAGGCTGTCGCTCACAACGACGACAACATCGCCAGCGGCCTCGTGGGCCAAGTCGACTCGAGCCACTGGTCGTCTATCCTCGAGAACATCAGAGCCATTCGTGATGAGTTACCTGCCGCTAGCCCGCAGACCTCGACTCTCAGTTCAGTTACCCTGAATAATGAGGTGTCTACGAGTGAGGCAGACTTTGACATGGGATCTCCCGACGGCCTGTCAATTGAGCATATCTTATCAGCCTTGCCGCCACGACACGTTTGTGATACACTGGTATCTGTATTCTTCCTGTCGCACTACGCCATGATGCGTAAGCTAGTCTGAAGTTTGATGTACTATTTGGTTGAAGCTGACAGTGGAATGATAGCTATCCTGCATCCGAAAAAGTTCCAACAAGAGGCAAGCTTTTTGCGAAACATCTGACTGAAGCCTGACTAACATTGCCTCAGTATGAATCGTTCTGGGACTCGCCATCAGAAGCCTCCCCGGTGTGGATCGCACTACTCCTAGCTCTTCTCAGTCTATCAGCAGGCGTCTACGAAATCTCAGGAATGGCCCGCTCCTCTCGAATTCCAATCCCCTCCAGCAAAACTCTCTCCAAGAAAACTCAAGAATGCCTCCTCTTGAGCAACTACACTGCTGCCACTGAACACGCCGTCGAAGCTTTTCTCCTACTTCTCGTCGGATGCTGGCTTCGCGCCAAGGTTTCAGACACCAATCTCTGGTTCCTCATGGGTAAGGTAGTGCAACTTGCGATCTGCAAAGGTTACCATCGAGATTCGACAAAGGTACCAGGCTCCAGGATTTCTCCGTTCGACGGGGAGATGAGGAGACGAGTCTGGGTCTGTTTGTACCAGCTTGATTCTCTAATGTCGTTCCAGATGGGTCTGCCAAGCATGATACCATCGGACTTTTGCGATACAGAGTTGCCGAGGAACTTGAACCAATCGGACTTTTACCCTGGTATCGCGGAACTGCCTCCGTCTAGACCTCTTTCTGAGAATACGACTATCTCTTATGCCATCGTAAAAGCTTCTGTAATGGCAATGTTCAAGAAAGTGGTCAGACATACACGGTCACTTACGCCACCGTCGTACGAAGAGACAGTTGCACTGGACGCTGAAGTCCGGGCAGCCTACGACAAAATATCCGATAGCTTCAAGTACAAACCACTCACTAGCTTCATCGTTGACGAGGTCAGTATCATAATGAGCAGAACTACCATAGAGCTGCTGCACCTCAAGAGCATTATCGTTCTTCACCGTCAATACTTGACAGATCGACAAGACGGTCGCTTTGCGTTCTCCAGAAAGGCCTCTCTTGATGCAGCGGAAAGACTACTTGAGAGACAGGCTGAGATACACCAGATTACTCTACCAGGTGGCTTGTTGCATGATAAGAAGTGGATGATCACGTCCTTGACACTAAGTGACTTTACTCTAGCTGCTATGGTTATCTGCTTGGATCTAACCATAAGTATACGAAATGGTACGAGAATGAGTGCCTATCTCGAGGATGTCGAGTTACGCAAATATCTGGTGATTGTCGAAAGGGCCCATGAAATATGGTCCAGTTCGTCAGAAACGTCTGAGGGACGAATAGTTTCTCATGCCCTAGACTCAACTATACGGCGAGTCAACGAGTTTATCAACACGTCATCAACCGCAATGGCTGCTCAGAGCTGGCCGGCTTCTGCGACGACAAACACAGAAACACCAGACTATCTGACGCACAATTTCGCGGATCAGATGGCAGACTTCGACATGATTGACAGCATAGACTGGGTAAGGCTTGGAAGTCATATTCCGCACATCATGCATATTAACAGTTTCTGTAGAGCCTTCTCGATAATCAGATCCAAGATCCTAGCAGTATACAAGACTTCGCTCTAGACATGTGGCTTATGGACACGGCTGGGCCTTTGGAATCTCTGTGATGATTGGTGTCAGATGGTTTCTCCGAGAAGTGGCGTTGCTGAAGGATTCGTGACTGAGATTCGAGGCACGCGTAACGGATATTGTGGCTTGCGGCTGAAGACCAGAGGGCATAACTCGAAGAACGGACGGCCCGAGGCCCTCCCTTCTCAGCCGTTCACTTGTTTCAGATTATCGAGAGGCCAAATCGAATGCCACTTTGGACAATCCGTGGCATGGTATGGTCGACCTACCGAGTAATTTCGCCACCATACAACGGAGTCGAGGCGCCAGATAGGTATTCATCCAGGGCAATGCATTGATTAGGGCTTCTTACTGGCTCAACGTTGGAGCTATATATGCATGTCTCAGAATCATGGAAGATAGTCATCCAAATTCGTCAAATGTGGCTGACATGGTTGAAGCTGAGCTGCTACTCCGGCTGGCTGAACGCGTGCCAGCCAAGGTCAGGGAGTCAAGGCGCGATTAACGAGAATTTAATTCGGAAATTCAATAATGAACTTGAGAGGGCCAATTCATGATGGCTTCAAGTTTCGTTCTTGCTGTTAATTCCATGGTACTATTGAAGTTTAATTGAATGAACCGCCATCAGATCTTCTCAAACCAACCCAGGGGATGAGCCTCGAAACAGATTTATCTGGAGTACGGGCACTCAGTTCCCCATACTCAATCACGGCACGGCGCGTCTCTCAATTTTAGCCACATACCTTAACTCCCTCGTGGCGAGCTGACCTTCAGCCTGGCGTTGAATCACATATTGAGACATGGCCCAATTCTAGAGCCAGTAGTCTGTTTCGTGGCGTTGTGGCTTACCCGAGCAACAGCTGAAAATAAGGGTCTCGGCTCAACCCAATTTCAGGATAGCCAGTTCATGTGATGAAGCCTCAAGAGTGTGATATGCAATTCGAGGTGAGATATCGGAGACTATTGAGGTGATATGGCTGACGAGGTGGAAATGAACTCCAGGGCGTCACATTCTGGGCTTCGTATTGTCTCACCGTCCAGCTCCCCCCAAACCACTAGTTCATGAGGAACACCCTGCCTCAGCATGGCGATCAAGGTCTGGAGCGCATCTGTAGCGTGAAGACAGATAAGCCCCTTCATCACTAGATATATGGTCCACGATGGTCCTCGCTTCAATGCCATCCTCGAAGGCAGTGCTCATGTTTGCAGATATCTTCTTCGGCCGCGAAACAGACAACATGCTCAGCCAAGCCAAACGTACGTCTTCCTCCCTTCATATCCCTTTCTCCCACTGACCTCTCTAGTCCACCAGCTGGAGTCAGCTCCATCAAACGTCAAGTCCAACTGGCTCACCACCGTTCAAACGCGCCCTATCCGCTCCGGCTCCGTTTCATCAGACGACGAGCCCGCCGAGAGTATAATCCACCACCACGACACCGAAAGCATCGTCGCGCCCGCTCGGTCTTCAGTTTTTGAGTACGGCACCGGCACGACAACTGTTCTCTCCCACCGCGACTTCTCCAGCGCAACGACGCGCCATGCATCCCAAGCCATGTCTATAATCTCCAAGCGAGACTTTTCTTTCTCTTCTTCCTCTTATGCAAGCGAGTTGTACGACACGCAAGCTATCTGGAAACACGGAGCAGATTACGAAGGGTTCTCATTCGAGCTTGACTCGCATATGCAGAGGGCTGTCGACAGATATGCCCGCGTCTGCGGTAAATCTCTCGACTTTGCACGCTCCGTCACATCAAAAGAGTTTCTCGCCATGGTCACCAACGAGAGATTGCGATACATGCCGGAGAAGGGAAGTCGTCTTGACAAAACGCTCAAGAAAGCTGAGGCCTTTGCGAAAAAGTTTGACAAGATCATGACGGCGATCAAGATGATTGAGGTATCGACTTATGATAGCTCTGCGCTTGTTCTTTCATCGTGTAAGACCCTTCTTGGGTTTGCTGGGAAGTATTCTTTTGCTGTTGAGCGTTTCTTTACGGTTCTTGATGATGCGATGGCAACTATTGTTAAGATGGTGGAGAAGTTGGAGGCGAGCCATGCTTCGCATAGGGTTACTTCTATCTTCCAGTCTTCCCTCGCTATGATTGTTGACATTGTTGTTGACATCACTGCATCTTTCGGCACCAATCGCTCAGGTGGAAGTGAGAAGACTATCGTGGCCCAATTCGAGTCTCGCTTTGAGATCATCATTCTCAGGCTTACGCAGCTCAAGGCGGAGTTTCACATGTGTCATCTCAACCACTGGCTCGAATGTCACGGGTCCGTTGACTCGCTCCTCATTATCCTTCGTGGCTTCGGCGACTTTGGTCTTGACTCCTGTCCCCCAGCCTACATCTCCATCCTCATGAAAGTCTGCCTTTCTCTTCACAAGTCACACAGCGAACACTCCGAGACTCTCACTTGGTTCCGCTTCCTCTGGAACTCAATTGAGAAGCATCGTCATAACCACGAGATCATCAGCTCTGAGCAGTGGTTCGAGGTGTATCAGGAGTATCTCATAATTCTTGGTGTTCATGAGCAACATACTGAGCGCCTTCATCTGGCTGAGAGCTTTAGAGCTGTCATCCTTGCGGACTTTGGTGCTACTCATGCGTACTACATCCGCGCGAGCATTGAGTTCGCCAAGATCCTTGAGATTGACACGGTTCGATACGTCGAAGCTGTTTCTATCTACGAGGAGCTGTGTCAATTCGACATTCACTGCTGTGACGAAGGCGACTCTATCATCGCTCTTCTCGAGATTGCCAAGTATCGCCTGTCAGTTCTCTTTGAGAGTCACTGCGATCTTGGCCATCGCGCCGAAACCCTCCTCATCGACTCATTCGTCTCGCTCAAGTGGGAACTCTCCTACTCCCACGAGAAGGTCTTGGTAGCACTTACCCGCATCGTTGACTATCATCGCAAGCAGAAGCGCCGCGAGAGTATCTCTGTTGCCATCAAGGTCATTGAGGAGTACATCGTCGGCCTTCTCGTCGAAGAGCGCAATGAGATTGTCCTCTTCGACATTGCTCGCAGCTTGGCCAAAATGTATCGTGAGTTATCTTCCGTCGAGTTTGGTATCAAGTTCATCCAAACTCTCAAGGAAGAGGTCCTCATGGGTGAGAAGAGTAAAGTCGAGGGCTTCTGCGGTTTCGGTCACGAGGATCGTCTTGCGCATCTTGATCGACGTTGTTTCATCTTCATCCACGCCTTTGAGCAACTTCTCTGCGGCTATGAACGCGAGAACATGCTCGACATCATCATTCGTGATGTCTACACTGAGACCTGTCTCTACGAAGCATGGTCCGTATCCGTCAGGACCTCAAGCCGTCCTATCCACATGCGTCTCGCAGCTGGTGCCCGTCTCATCGCCTTCCTTGAACTCAAGGGTCGACAGACTGAGGTGCGAAAGCTCCGTACAGATATGTGGGAGATGTTCAAGGGCTTCTGCTCAACATCCGTATCTTCTGAGTCTCTCTGGCAGCTTTTTGAGTTGACTCTTTCCAATGTTAACAAGAAGATTGTGCATATTGACATTCTTGAGCGTTTGGTTGAAGTTAGTCTTCAGGTCTACAAGGCTAAGGACTTCAAGGTTTCGCTTCAGCTGTTGAAGTGGTCGCAAGTTTACTTCCGGCAACTCACTAAGACCAAGCACTCTCATGTTGTCAAACTCGCATTCAAGATCTCAGAGTCGTTCTCGCGTCGTCACACTCATGATCACGATCACGTTATTCTTGAGCTCCAGCAAATCTCATCGGAGATCCTGGTCGAAGTTCTCAAGGTAGGTCGTCTTGACATCGACTTTGGTACCATTCCTTTTGATCAATTGAACGTCATCATTCGTCTTCTTGGTGAGAGGAAGAACTTCTCCATGCTTGAACGTATCCTTCAGTACCTCTGGGATACACGCATGAGCCGTAACTGGTCCGGAGCTGCGACCGTTGCTACTGGTCGTCGACTCTGCGAGGTCAAGTTCGCTGCCGGTCATCAATCAGCAGCCATGTCTCTCATCGAGAGCATCTGCTACAACCTTCGCGACGTCTATGGCTCTCTTCACCACCTCACAGTCGACTGTGAGACTCTCCGCGCAAGCTTTCACAACACATGCGGGAATCACAAGGCAGCACGCGACATCCACGTTCATCTCCTTGAGCAAATTGGCAACATGGACAGCGATGCCATTTCAGGCCGTGATGATCTTGCCGAGTTGGTCACGGACCAGGCTAAGAGGCTGAAGTGGGCTCATCATAGCCACCAAAGCAAGGCTGGTGAGGACGACAAGGATGAGTCGTTTTACCTCTCGATTCTTCGAAATGCGCAGAGCTCGGTCAGTGGACATCATAGAGTCGAGTCAGCGTCTTTCGGTGATGCTCTTAAGTTGGATGGGGAGAAGATGGAGACCAAGTGGAAGCATCCTGAGAACTGGAGCTTGCCTGTTCGTGAGGTTCTATAAATGCTATTTGAGGTTTACCGGATGGGGCGCAGGGGGTTTCTTTGCACACACGTGTAGCAGTCAATCATTGATCTTTCTTTTGTATTTGGTCTTTTGTATTCTTATCATTGATGTGTAAGCTCGTTACTATTTTATTGGTACTCTATTGTCTATTCACGCCGCTCATCATGGGCCTTTTTGAATCAAGTCACTGTCGATCGAGTTTAATGTTTCTGCAAACGTCTATATTCTCCTGAATCCTCCTTTATAATGTATGTAACACCTGATCTGTCTAGCTTGAATTGGCTCAATCACTCTTGACCTGCTTCAGCCTCTCCTCCATCTGCTCCCTCGGACTCTTCAGCTTAACCTCCGGGAATCTCGGATCCTTCGTCCAAGGCATAACATCAGCTCCCTCCAACAACCACTTCAACGTAGCCTTCTCATATTTATCCGCTAACTCCTTATGTTCCGGATCTTGGGCTAGGTTATGAAGCTCATGAGGATCGTTGTGTCGATGATACAGCTCAGCTGGTTCATAAAGTCGGTACACATAGGTCCAGTTTTCGTCTCGCAATGAAATAGCTTTTCCAACTAAAGTCGTGTCCTCGTGTTGAAGTCCGGCTTTGAGATCGTAAGGGTATGGTGCTTGTTCGAGAATGGGCTCTTCCGATGTCAGAAAACCACCTTCAGAGAAAGAGTACTGTTTGTGTGTTTTGGCATCGCCGCAGAGAAGGGGAATCCATGAGAGTCCGTTGTGAGCGAATGACTCTCCGATTCCAGATGTCTCCAGCATCGTCGGTACCAAGTCCACCATTTCCGTCATGGCATGGATCCTCCTTCCCTTTGGCAGTCCCGCGCCGCCAATAATAAGAGGTTCGTGAACCAGTGTCTCTGAAAGACCTGAAGGCCACTTCTCAATGAGTCCATGATCACCAAGATATTCTCCATGGTCAGTGAAGAACATGGTAACAGTGTCCTTCCAAATACCAAGCTCATCGACCTTTGAGAGCACTCGACCGAACTGATCATCCAGACGTGTGATCATACCATAGTATGTCGCCTTGATCTCCCTCCAAATCTCATCCGTGGCGCGATGTGTACCATACTTCTCCCGAATTGACTTCATATACCGCGGTTCATATCCCGTCTTCTTGTCGACCGTCGCTTCAACACTGGAGACTTTGGAGCGATCATACATAGAAAAGTACGGCTCTTCAACCTGGAAAGGGCAGTGAGGAAAGATGAGAGGCATGAAAAGTACCCATGGCTTATCCGTAGGAGGACAATCCAACCACGTCAAAGCAGATCTCACCACAGCTTCATCATAGTCCAAAGCTTTATCCGCATCCCTCAATCCACGATAAAACAATCGTCCCCAAATACTCTCATCCACCTCTCGTCCACCACCAGCAAACTTTGGCGTAAACTCTGGTGTTTCAAGGAACCCGTATTCACTAAGACTCAGCTCCGTGACAGTCGGTGCAAAAGTGTCGCCTCGTGGTGCAAGGCATGCAACATGATATCCCGACTCCTTCAGACTCCGAAAGATATTTGGTTCCCATGGCTTGATAAGGTTCTCGAGACTTCGATGACCACTGACGTGAGGGTACGTTCCAGTGAACATGCTACATCTCGATTGCGAACACACAGAAGCCTGCGTGAAACAATTGGTGAAAAGACTCCCTCTTGCAGCGAATGCATCGATATTCGGCGTCTTGATCTCAGAATGGGGGCCAGTTGTACAGCCGAGAGAGTCATATCTCAACTGATCAGGCATAAAAATAATGTAATTCGGCCTGTCTCCTCCATTTTTGGAATCAACCTTCAAAGGCAGTGGTTTCGGAGGAAGACGATGAGATTGTGACATTGTGAATTGCTATGATCAAGAGATTCAACATTCGGTGCTGAGTTTGTAGTCGTAGTTATCTAGTCATGAGCTAGCACCCTCGCCTATCTTAGCTTCGGATCTCGTTCTCCGGATCTCGCCCCCTCGTCATTCAACCTCGGCCTGACGTGCTTGAAACCCAGCTATGTAAAGATCTAAACAACCCCACTCCTCACTCAAACCAAGGAACTCGTTCGGATCTCGTACAATGGAAAGATCAGCCCCGCAACTCGCGTGTAAACAATGTCGCAGGAGAAAGGTTCGTGCTCTTGTTACAGTTTGCGGGGTTCTCCACTAATCTAGGTCATCAGGTTAAATGCGATCGACGAATCACAGGATGTATACGCTGTGAGCGGTTGGAATTGACGTGTAGTTATGTCGCGAGTGATACTATTGAAATGTCGGATGGTCATGGGGATGACTTGACGCAGGCGGGTATCAAGAGGCGGAGAATCCTGAGGGCTTGTGCGGCTTGTCGGAGTGCTAAATCAAAGTGTTCGGGGACATGTCCTTGTAACCGATGTCAGTCACAAGGGCAGGATTGTGTATTCGGTGGTGAACCGGGGAGTTCTAGTGTCGATATTGGCATGGAAGTACAGACTTCGCCGGCGAGTACGTCCCAGTCACACTATGGATCAGTACCCAGTCAGGCATCACCAATGGACATCTCTGCCGGTGTAGCTGGCGATGCGCAGCGGTATGTTCCGTTTCCGCAGACCTCTTCCTCTCGCTAACATTCAGGAAGGGTCTTTGAACTTGAGAGTCGAGATACCATACGTCAATATCTGGATACATACTTTGACAAATCCGACATCGCCGACTGTGTCTTTCTTCATCGAGCTACAACGATCGCAGAATGGAGTCAGGGCAAGCTCGAAAAGACGTTATTAAAAGCCATCTGCGCTTCAGCACTCCGGCTCGCACCAACATATCACTCGGAGAGCTCACCGGCGCATAACTGGATAAAACAAGTTCAGCATGAGTTGGTCAATCACATGGGTGACATGTCAGTACCAAAGCTTCAGGCTCTAATGCTTGTGATCAAATTCCTCTTTTCCATGCGTTTCACTGGGGATGTCTGGGTTCTTCTTTCGATCGCATCGAGGGTCGCTTTCACCAAGAGGCTCAACTATGAACGTCCGGCCATTGATCCAGTCAGACAAGAGTGCCTTCGGCGATTGATGTGGTCCATATATGTTGTTGATAAAGTCTTCTCTGGTGGTATTGAGGACCTGACTGTTTGTCCGACGCAAAGGATGCATATCCGGTTACCGAGCAGTCACCATAACTTCCAACTTGGTTCAAGGTCAAAAGCGCCGTTTCTACGGAGTAAGAGCGAGAATGATACAGATTTGAACGTCTTGGCGTACTTGATGCGGCTGTATGACATTCGAGATAGAGTTTTGAGGTAAGACACCATATCATGCATGAAGGGTTTTGCTGACAGGGACAAGATATACCAGACAGGTTATCTTGAGTGGGACCAGCCCCTATCTTAGCCGAGGACAGCTACGCTCTCTTGATCTAGAACTGACATCATTCGAAGAGTCACTGCCAGATGAACTGCAACTCAACGAAAACAGGCTTATGATAATGTGTCATTCAGAGGAAGCACGCACATATACAACCCTCCATACCATTCTATTCAGTTCTCGCTGCGATCTTCACCGGTTTCTCATTCCTGGTATTCGGGAGGCCGTATCACCAGAAGCAGTGAACCAAACACCAAGAGAATTTATCGACTACTGCCAGCAACAATGTCTTCAGACTGCGTTGAGATATATAGACATGTGGTCCAAGGTCAGACAGATGGAGACGAGTAGTCGTGTCGGGACACCAACCTTTGCGGTAGTGACGTACCAGTTTGTCAAGATGGTAGATCATCTGGCTGCTCTACTGCCATTACACGGCGAGTCATCACTGTCGGTGATCAAGCAGAAGTTTATTGATATACTGCTTATCGTGTCGCGAAGTCGAGCTGAGGTCGGGTGGGTTGGAACATGCGTAAGTATTCGCCTCGTTCTTTAAGCGTCGAGAAGCTGACATGAGCGTAGATTACTGATATCGAGAATCTTATACCACGATTGGGCACGAGACACACATCGCCTGGCTCACCGTATGTTTCAACGATCATTACTCAAGTCTACCAGCTGACAAATACACCAGTAGCGCTTCGCCGGGGACTCTCCGCCTACAGGAGAAGTTGCATCGTCGTTCTAAGCATGCTTTTGCTCCGGACGATGAAGAGGAGGAAGATCCTGCTATCCGACCACCAGAGTCCAATACTGACGAAGAGATACCGGAGACGTCCCTTGAGTCCACGGTACTAGAGAACCCTAGTGGGCAAGACATTTGGTCTTTCCCACTTCAGGGTGATGAACAGGGTCTGACTGGGTCAACTGGGGACGGATCTCTGGGCTCATTCTCATCAATGGGATATCCACTCATCAATTATGACTCGATCAATTCGACTAACATGGTGTTCGGAGACCAAGAACTCGGTTTCCCATTGGATCCCTTTGACCTCCAGATGAATGCTTACACTGATGCCAATGCACCTCAATATTAAGTAGCTAGTTGAAAAGTTCAATACATGATACCAAGATCTCCGAACATCGTCCCCCAGCTTCGATACATGTTCACTGATGACTTAGACTCGCTGTTCCGCTGTCACGGTATTATCTTTGCCATCAGAATGCACCTTGCCCAATCCATCTTCCTCCTGTGTAGCGCGCATCATCTCCGCCGCATCAACCTTTCCAAACTGTCGGATCGGAACACCTTGGTTGAACAGGAAATCGACTTGTTCCAGCGTTTTACCCTTGCACTCAGGAACACAGAAGTAAACAAACACAAGGGCAGTAGCCATGATGCCTCCAAAGATGAAGCCAACTTTGCTGTTCAAGCCAGCGTACTTGTCGTAGATGAGATATGGGATGCTGAAGTTGACAGTGAAGCTAGAAGAATCTGTTAGCACTGAATAGAGAGGAAGTGGGCGGTGGCTTACTTCATGATGACATTGGTGGTGAAACCAACTCGCGATGTGAGATCACGGAGCCGGAGAGCCGAGAGCTCAGTGGTGACGACGTAGACGAGCGGTGCCCACCCCATTCCGAAACCGGAGGCAAAGACAGCCATCATGCTGATCACGCCCTTCTTCCTCGAATCATCCACAGGAGATACGATACCAAGACCCCCCATCGTCATCATGGCAACAAACATGGTGATAGACGATGCCATCATGAGGACACTAGATATTGGTCAGCTTCAGTTGGCACTCCAAGGCAGGCAAATAACATACCGTCTACCAATGATATCCGTCCAAAGAAGGATGCAGGTAATTGAAATGATGCTGATGGCGGATGTGATCAGACTGAAGCCAAATGGATTGATGGTCCCAAGAGACTTGACGTAAATGGTACCATACTGCGACACAAACGCTTGGCCACCAGCCTGCTGATAAAAGTTGACGGCCATAACAATGAGAGTTCGCTTCAGGTTAATACCCCTCAGAAGCTCAAGGAATCGTCCCTGCTCAGTCTCCTGCTCCAAAGAGACCTTCAGCTCCGTGAACTCAGCGTCGATCTCTTCATCTGTAAAAGCTCCTTCGCGGATTTGTTGGAGACTCTTTCGCGCCTCTTCGACTCTATTTTTTCGAAGCAGCCATCGCGGCGACTCAGGAACGAACCAGATGCCTGCCACGACAATACTAGGCACGATGTAGAACATGCCGAGAGGGATTCGCCAGGCGCGGTTGTCGGGGAGAGAGCTTGTTCCGAAGCAGATGCTATTGATGACGAGGCCGCCGACCGCGAGGCTAAGTTGGTAGGAGCCGACCATGAAGCCACGAGCTTGAGCGGGAACTGTTATTGTTAGCGATGGAAGTGGCTGTATGTTGTGGTATGCGTACCGATTTCGGACTGAAAGGTTGGAACAACACCAAGCTCCATGCCGACGTAGACGTAATTGAGAATTCGAGCTGCCATGATCTGCTCACGATGGAAAGACGTGACAGCGATAGTCGCTGTACCAAGGGCATACACGCTCATAACGAACATGCACCATCGTCGACCCCATCGTGAAGAGATCCAAGTTCCAATAAGAACACCTGCACATCGTCAGCAAAGCACAGCCAAACCTCGCGCTGTACTCACCAGCAGCAAAACCGATATAGTTCAAACTGTTAAACAGCGAAAGCCACGACGGCTCAAGAATATACGTCCCCGTCTTCTCATTCCAAACGCCAAACTGCTTATCAAACGCATCCATCGCCTGCGTCGTCGCAAATGCCTGGTTGTCAAATCCATAATTAAACGTCGACACGGCGATGAGCACGCATGACAGCGCGAGTCGTCGATTGAAGAAGCGGAACTTTGTAAAGACGCCCATGATGGAGATATGCTTGTGATTCAAGTTGTCATGATGGCAGCTGGAGCGGCAGACTTATATGAAGAGTGGTTGACTTGACTAGAGATGTCGTGATGGTTGGGATTGTTTGACGAATTGGGGCGAATTTGATGGTAGATCCTTGTTGGAGCCACTGAAATTGTGGTTTACCCCAGAAATTTGGGCGTGAACTCCCCGAGGGACGACATCCGGGCTTGGATGATCCACATACGACATCCGAGGACGACATCCGAGACAACAAAGCGGCCAACCTTGGCGTCAAACCATTCACTAGTGGAATCGAAAACTCAAAGTTTTGGTCCAGAACTCAACCTTTGTCAAACCCCTTCACCCCTTGAGCTACCTCTAGAGCAAACCGAGCCTTCTCAAGGTTACTGTTAGCCGCTTTCGTGTCTGTATGGGAGCCCCAACTCTGATGGCTAAAGCTGCTCGCTGAGCTAAAGCTCGCTATACTTCTTGGGCTTCTAGGTCCATTTGCTGGTGCTGGAGAATTTGCGTATACCCTGCCATGACTATTTATCTGTCAGCTCTACTGACTTCCATCAAGAGACTCAATGCAGCATGACTCACTCGGGGGCCGGGGGTAACCCGTTCTTGGCGATTGCCTCAAGCCATTCAGTGGTTCTTTTTCGCGTACGCTTCTCTTGCTGTAGTGCTCGGAGTCGTTTCCAGATACCATCATCTCTCAATCTCGCGATGAGATTCTGTGTTTTCTGGGTGGGATTAAGATACAGCTCTGCAAGCTCGATATGTAGCATGACTTCTGTAATTGCATATACGAGTAGAGCTGGGTAGTCGTTGAGAACCTGCGATGTAGCAGCGGCAAGAGACTCACGTGAGACAGAACGTTTTACAGAGCCGGCGATGGATTCTGTATATGAGGACAAAGCTCCCCCAGCCAGCCAGTTTTCAACGACCTCAATAGACTGCCAGGGGCGCAATGCGTCCAAGCCTTCAAAGGCATGCCCAGACCCTCGTCCCTTCTGCTGAGCTTCTACCTTTGGAGGCTCTTCAGTTTCAAAGGGAGTCTCCGAGCATAATGAGGCACTGATTAGACTCGCCATGTTTACTCGTTGTCGAGCAACAACATATTCATCCAGCTCTGGCATAAACAAGTAGTCGAGGCAGGTATCCACAATAGTGCAATGGCAGTCCACAAGAGGGTTGACGCTCTCCAAGCGCAAGTTCCGGAATCCTCCTTTGTGTACGAAGAAATCGTAAACGGACTGGTGAATGACACGCACCACACGAGCTGATCCCTCCTCGTGGTCCAGAGATCCAGCGCCAGCGTTGATCGATGAAACTTCTCCGTTCTTCTCTGCGAGGATATCGTGCTGCTTGGTGCTGACTTCCAGTAAGCCTCTCGATAAGTATCTGATCTTCCTTTCCAGCTGATAGTCGTTCTCGGTGTGAGACGTTGATTTTCGCCACTCTGCGAGCGAGGCTGGTTTTGGAGACTGGATAAAAGCGAGTACGTGATGCCACTCGTCAAGACGTAAGGGTCTGTTTGCTGCGATGACCCATTGGAACATCCTTCCCGCCAACCGAAGATCCATGAATACAGTTGATGTCAACATCTTTTCGTACAGCTTCTCGAGCTCCACTGGCATTGCTTCAACCCGCCGTATGATCCCGAGTAAGCTGATACCCATATCATAATTTTCCAGGGCTTCATCCACCACCAAAACAACCCAGAGGAAAACCCCTGATGACAGCGTGTGGATCTTTTCCGTGAGTTCTTTCCTCCAGTGTCCTTCGTGTGCAGAGATTCGCGCATTCAGTCGCTGTTTGATGTAATTCAAGATGTCGGTCTGATTATAAATATCCAAAACGAGTTCTAGACAGCCAGTAACGGCGATGCTGGGAAAGTGTCTGCAAGACAAGCAGATTCTTGGGCCCCGGATGTCGAAAATCTGGAGTCCTAAACTCCAGAAGTCAACTTGGCGTCGCTGCATCTCTGTGCTCAATTCGTCAAGTGCATCCACGAAGATAAAGACCGGTTTACCTAACGATGCTAGGAAATCAAGCGTTTCAGAGAGCAAGGTTTCTAAAAGACTCTCGTCCCATTCTGCCGAAGCCAGTACGGTGTTCATGATAGCATCCTTAATGCTATAGATCAACATCTGTCTCTCAACGGTCGCCTGTGTTACCGGGCTGCATATCCTGCTCTGCAACAGAAGCTGGTAGAGCAACGATCGAAATATTCCAGTGGTGCAGCGCTGCATGTTCTCGCCGCCAGCGTCAATGAAGAAGCTGGCGCATATATGGTCTCTTCTTGCAAAATGTTGCATGCGTCGTACAGCCTCTTTCATCAAGGTTGACTTGCCTGCTCCTGGCTTTCCCTTGATGAAGAGCAGACGCTGCCTTTCATCAGTTGTAGTGGTCCAGAGACGGAATTTATGGTACTGGAATAGCCATTGCCCGGTATTCATAGCAGGGGCCAAGATAGAATCTTTGCGATTATTCATCCCATCGAAGCGCAGTGCTGCAAGAAAGTCGTCCAATTCTTTCTGCTCCAGGACATCCGGGGGACCATATCCAGAAAGTGACTTCTTGTTCTTGCCAGCTTGCATATTAAGAATTTGAGTCGCCTCCGCCGGAAACTGAATCCTAGAGTGAGCATTATCAATGGCGGTATAGAATGCCTTGATCTCCCCGGCAACTTTGATGTAGTTCGGGTCCTGATCGCTGCTGAAGCGACTCATCTCCTTATGGTTGGCTTGGAGAGTCTCTGCATGTTCCCTTGGATCCCCAATCAAGGAAGACTCATGAGGCACGACCTTGTTACCCAAAACACCCAGATCAATCCCAGTAAGACCAAAGCTTTCTTGGAACGTCTTCACCCGGAAGTCATACTGATACCAGAGTCTACAGAACGCTTCGTGGGCGCGTTCAAGGTCTGTTGTCTTGAGGCCCAGGGTGTCCAAGATTGTCGATGTCGTTTGGAACTTCAGACTGCTCAGCATTGATCTTGCCCATTCGCCGATGGCTGACAGTTCAGGACTCCCTCGATGGGGCGTGCCAAGGAAGACAACAGCCGCAGTTGACTCGATGATACCTTTCAGGGAGGGAGTACTGGAGGTTGATGATAAAGCTAGCATCTAGACAGGTCAACAAGTATAATCTTGGGGATGTAGGAAATACTCACCTCTTTCACCAGTATTCCACCAAGGCTGTGAGCAACAAATATCATAGGACGGTCTCGCACGTTTTCGCGCCCCAGCGAGAACAGAAAGTCCTTCCCATGGGAGAAAATACTGTTTGTGTTAGTCGGCCCAGAGGCAAACTTGGTTATCTTCGTATCATAACCAAATGTCAAAATTCGAGCCTTCTTGCAAGTTTGGGGGAGTAAATCAGCGGGCCAGAAAACAGAAAGATCACCGGTCTCTAGAGCTGTAACAGTGTTGCTTGTTGATTCGGTGAGACTGCTGTCTTGTCGGCTGTTGCTTGACGAGCCTTTCAAGAACGCCTTGAGACTTTGTCTAAGTTCGAGTCGTTTTGGAATGCTTGGCTGAGGCCCCTCCTTTTCGGGGTGCGCTGATGGTTTATCCGCATTTTCCTGAGTTTGCTTGCACCTCCAGGTTTTATACGGATGACCTTTCAGACCATGAACCATGATAATGCTTACCGCTCATTCAGTAATGCCGTCTGCATAGATGCGCACTTGTAACTTACTCAACTATAGGTGCATCGGTCTCTGGCTCGTATACGATACTGAGCCCAGTTGAGGGTATTGCCTCTAGAGAACATTTTTTCCTTGTCGAGGAGCTTCCTTGGGCATTCATGATCAACCAAGGGAACGATGATGAGATGCGGAGTAAGCGTTCTTGGACTGTGAGATGAGGCTGAGAGCTGAGGTCACGTGGGATATTCGTGTATTTTCAAGCATCTTGAAGAGATTCAATTGGATATTGAGGTCATCCAATCAAATTCAGCATGTCAACAACGACTTTGGTGGTGTTCGTGTGTAAGTAGAGAGCTCATTTTTCGATTAGTGGTTGTATTAGTTGTACTTGGGAAAGTTTATATATCTCTAGTTCGTCAGTCCATTGACCCATTATACTCCATGATAGACCTTGGTAACAACACCAAGCTCCATCTCATTCGCAGACTTGTCACCGTTCTCACTGCCCCCATGCGTATTTGCCTCCCCAAACTTAATCCTCTCTAATCCAGTCTGACCCGGCGGTGACGGTGATCGCTTATCGAGCGACGCCTCTTCAGTAGTGATGTTAACTATAACCTCATTCTTCTGATAAATCTTCAACGGAATATCCTTCCCGTTAATCTCCTCTTGACTCTCCGAAAAACTCATTCCAGGCTCGACAAACGTTGTCTTTTTGGGTCGCCGATCCATACTGCTGAGATTGCCGTATGCTGATCGGAATCGGGATGTTCCTTCACCGGTGCGTTGGTTGGAGGATTTGCCGTACTTGGCATGGAATGAACCGAGGCGGAAGACGCGTTGCAGGAGGGTCCATGTGAGAGGGAGGTTGGCAGCGATGACGGCGGTTGAGACTTCGCGGATGTACCAGTAGGACCATTCTGTGCCGTAGGGGTCGCCGAGACTGTAGATCTTGCTCATTGTTGCTGCAAGGATCTGAAGGCCAAGTCAGTTAGAGATCACAAGGACAAGATGAGATTGGTGGATGCGAACTTACAGTAAAGATACCAAGTGCAAAGACACCGCAAAGGATGATCTTTCTCTTGAGCGGTAGTTGAGATTGTAAAAAGACAGGCATGGGAAGGATGATGATCATGATGTCCGAAGAGATGTTGATGACGGCGTTGGTGATCATATGATTGGTTTCAGCTGAGCAGTTTACTGCGATTCGTTAGTCCAAGTCCCTTATCTTATCAACGGGTTGTTCCCTACAGTCATCAGGAGGAACCTGCCAGTAATGATTGAAAGGCCGACACCAGGCAGCAAACCACAAGATCTGCATGACAACGAATCCAACGACGACGTATCCTGCCACTAACTTGACCAAAAAGTTTTGCTTCAAACTCATTCTGAAAGTTGTTAGTCAATAGTGACTGCATTGGCGATGAGCGACCACTCACGTCAGTCGGCTGTACATGAACAGTAGACAGCCCTTGACGCCCCAGAGGGTAATCATCTGCATGTGTTCCGTGACGAGGACCAGTTTCGATCCATACTCTCGGAGCTTGATGTCTTCGGGGGTGAGTACGATGTGATCGTCGGGATTGATGAGGTTGGTGGGTGTTCGTGTGAGGACGCTGACGATTGCTAAGAGGGCAGTATACGTGATCTACCAATGTCAGCCAAGCCTTGGTCAAGCAGATAGAAGATGCAAACAAACCATTGTCACCGCCATGAGGTAATCATCTGCCAACATGCGCTTGAATGAACCAAGCAACATACGACGGGACGCCCTGTATGAAGTCAGCAACAATTCTCAACACGTCGGGTAAAGTACTCACATTCGCGCAAACACCACAATCACCGTCAAGGAGTACCACGCCCACATCTCCGCATCGAGGGACGGCATGGCTGCTGATGCCAATTCGAATGCCAAATCGTCAGTACTGAAGAGGGTCTTCACCCAGATCCAAAAAGCAAAACAGTCAAAATCCGGGGCATCGATACAAGAAAAAAGTAACAAAAAAAGAACGACAAGATCTGCAGCGCCAGTCAGGGGTGCAGAGCGTCAACAGTTAAAAGAACACATCAACAGTGATCCAGACCCAGACCGTCAGGGTAGACACGTGGAAAACATGGGACCCTTAATCAGCCCATCCGGTGCATTATCGGAGCCTGCCCATTTCACTGGGTAAAATAGAGTTTACTAGCCTCGTCTCGACGTTTGGGGCTGCGAGTCAATCGGCCGCTATTACGAGACAAGTCTTAGGCCCGGCGTTACTGGTAAGCCACGGACCCACGAACTAGCACTCCAAATTCCTTTTTAGAAAGTTTCTGTGGGGCGACCCTGTGAAATTTCGTGATTGATTGATTATCTAGCTGATGATCATATTGCGTAAAGCAATTCTTTCTGCGAGGTCGGACGAGGAACGCCCCAGAAGGCTGAAAATAAATTGGGGGTTCAATCCACTAAATTTCCGTCAACGCGCACTCCATCAGACAATTGGCTGGCGTCTGTTATCAGTGACATAAGCCTACTAGAAAATATTTCTTATCACTGTCAGCTTGTGAATAGGGGGTTAAGCCGCCGCTCAGACAGTGGCTTTTATTCCGCCATCGCAAGCGCTTCCAGAATGAGCATGTCGCCGTTCTTAACAGATGCGATAACGTAGCTGAAGATACATGTGATCAACCCCTGGCTGCTGGGTTATTTAGCCACTTCCCGGCGATGTGGTTCAGATCTGGATGCTACCCCGTGGCTGTGCGGCCGCAGAATAATCACAAGGATAGAAGGTCAATTGAATTCGACCATCAGATGAGCCCCTGAGACACACTGTCTGGATCGATCCTAGATAACGATCTTGTTCTCGGTTCATGTTTTCCGTTCGGCTCCGGCAAGTGGACATGCTATTGGATCTGATGGGTCAGAGTGTTTTTCGTCATTGGCGAATCTTCGGATATTTGCGCCATTTTCATCCCGTCCTCGTCACTTGTTCCTGTCGATCATTCGTGGGAAAGACAGGGTGCCAAGGCTTTAAAATCCTTCGACACGTGGGAGCTGCCGGGTTTAAGTCATTGTTGTGACTTGACAATTAGAACACGAGTCATGGGGCTGTCGCGTTAGAAGATACAGGGTAGCATGCAAACAAACGATAGCGCCACTGCAGAGCGTCAATAAGCATTTATTATGCGTCAGGACAGCTCAGATTTGTCTTTATATATATATACATAGGATTCTCTAGACAAACGAGTATTTACAGCTACATTCCAAGTATCTCGCGACACGCAGATGGCGTCGCAGTCCAGCTAATAAAATCCAGCACGATTACTAAAATGGATCACCAGGGTACGCGTTACTCAAGAACCTCAACGCAGAACAACGCTTATGCGTAAAATCCCAAAATGTGATCTACAGTTTGTGTGATTTAAAAGTAAGAAAAAATAAGATGTAAATGTCGCAAAAGTTAAATAAAGGTCTCGGAGGGAGTCGAACCCTCGCTGGCGGAATCAGAATCCGCAGTCATAACCGTTAGACCACGAAACCATGAATTCGACTGGGCATTTTTCAAACTACTACGCCTATCACTTTACTATCCTCCCGTGGAAAAAGATGAGCAGCCTTCGTCGTAGGCGTATTGCTGATTTCGCATAAACATCAGAATGCCAAATTTCTTGTACCCGTCACGAGATTCCGGTAAGTATAGGCTTTTCATTACAGTATATTTGTTGAGAAGTGGAACAGGGACTTCTTCCTTTGCTACCTGATGACAGGGGCCTTTGTTCTCGGTCAATTCGTACAGCGGACAATCACAGTATCAATTGGTCGCATAGCCAATGCTCAAAGCTGCCCATCATAAGTGGATGTTCATGCAATGTAAGCGCCCTCCTTGTGTAAAAAGTGTTTGTCTTCCGCCATGACCTAAGCATTTTCAAGATCACTCTCCAACAAATCGACAATCCCAGCGTAGACATCTTGACAAAAGTCTGCCCCTTCAGACAAGCAGTTAGTGATGTGTGATACCTAAAATAAATACCCAGCTGGAAGCTCCTATTGTAAATACACACTTTTAATTGTCAGTATAATTCTCACATAATAGTCTTTACGTACCGCAGAGGTAATAAAAGGTAATCCAGCCCAGCTACCAACCAAGTTATAAGGTAAGACATATAACCTAAGCATAATAGGTTCAGCAAACAGCTTGCCAAAGCTTTCTACGATTTGCGCTGCTGCAAATACTCGACCCCGAAGCTCCTCACGAACTGCGAGAGTGATAGTAGAAAGCGCTGCGACACGAATCCCGTATCCCGCTGCAAAAATGAGTACGCCTATAAAGGGTTCGAAGGCCAAATATTAGTACAATAGGTTAAACAATGGCTCACACCTACCGAGGTGAAGAGTTGCCGATGAACTAGCTGTCCCGATAAGCAGAGCGCCAGCTGCCAAAAGCCCCAGACTGCAGAGGACTACGGTATAGCCAACCGTCTGAGGGTTTGGCCTGTAGTGAGACAGAACCCGGGAGCTACAATGAGGGACCACGAACAAGAGGCCATTCAGCCATGAGAACGTTCTACCTGGTGTCGTCTTTATTGGAGATAGTAACCATGCTGTCAGCCCCTTCGCTGGAAATGGTGCCAACACGGCTTTGGCAGATGGATGGGATCTGGCTGGATTTCTGTTGGCCTCGGATCCAATTGGCAATGCTGTCGCGGCATATGATAAGGTGTCAGTTCCTAGAGCGCAGGGAACTCTCAACTCTTCACATTAGCGGATAAGTATTGCAAATCTTGAGGGCATCACCTTTGCTACATTCAGACGCATCATCCAAATAGGCGGACTTCTCAAATGGATAGCTGGAAGATGACTAAACAGGTCTAGCATTAGATCTGGTTATTATGGCTTTTGTAATATTGTTATTCTTACGGGGTGCGAATATAGCTTTATAGGTAGCTCTTGGGCATCAGTTGCGCTTTTGTTAGGCCCAGTTACAGATACTTGGTTAGGAATGGCTAATATAACATCTGATAAAGATGAAAGTGAAGGCCTGTTAAAATTGGGAGAGAAGAATATACTGGTAGGATCTATTAGCTTAGGAAATAAGGCATAGTTAGTGAAGAATTAGTTTTTTAATAATATACTTTATATTTGTCTTTTCATTTCTCAAGTTAAATCCTTTGACATTCTTTTGATACTTATAGGCTATAGTAGGGACGAGAGAAATACTACTTGTTAATCATCTTCCGATGTAAATTTGTACGACTTTATGCTTATGCAGGTGTTGGCTCCTCTCTCGTCTCTGGCTTCCGTGCCCAGACAGCCCTGAGACGTATATAGACGTGATGTTTCCGGTTCCGAACCTCACGTCGGAACTTGGCGATATAAACATGGACCTCTTCCATCGACCAGCCTAATAGATTGGCGGCTAATGTTACGAAACCTTCAGTATCCTGGGTGAGGAAGACCTCTCCAAACCGGCCAATCTCCTTAAGCTTAGGGTCCATGGGCCACGGGTTCAAGGGACACTTTTCGAGTCAGTTATTAATGTTGCAGCAGAATGGTCTTATACATTACCTTAAACTCCCACTCATGAATGTCGACGAATCCCGCCTCTTGTAAAGCAGGCCTTTGGACTTTATCGTCGACAACGGTAAAGCTGTTGCCGATCTTCTTTGAAGCCTCGACAAAAATCCTTCCCCATTGAGCCATTGCAGAGTCATATGTGACGGTACCATCGTCGCTTTCTGCAGTTGGGGAAATTTCAAAGCTCTCAACCCAGCCACCAGGCTTGAGAGTCTTATATGCTTGGCTGAAAAGCTCTGTCCAGTCTGGAATGCAGCCGACCAGATAACGAAGGTGAACATAATCGAATGACTCAGATGGGAAGGTCCACTCTTGGTTGCAATCTTCAATCTCGCTGATATCGGGGTTAGAAATAAAATATCTATACAGATAAGTGTAATGAAGTAGCTCACAATTTCAAGTTGGGTGGGACCCAGCCGGGCTGGATGGGTGAGATATCGGTACCAATGACCTCGCACCCAGGGAATTTGTCGGCAAAGTCACTGAAAATTAGTTAAGAGTTGGTAAACTACCGCATGATAGGTAACCTACATAGCCCAAATACCTGCAGTATAAATTAGTACGGGCAATCTCGCGGTCACACAAGGGAGGCCATTTCATACCAGTTCCAGTCCCGACGTCAAGAACTTTCTGATAATTGGCAAAAAATACCTCAGTAACACGACAGGCACAGCATTGCATTGTGTTATTTGACGAACCTGTATGTTGTCTTCCAGAGGCGCAAAGTATAGTTCTCCATCGTGGGCGAGTGTCCACATGTGGTGACTAGGTAGTGTCCTGTTAGGCGAGAGGTAGCACAACTTTCGCAGGAGGGGTATCTCACGCGATATCCATGGCATCACTTTGGCGCTCATCGTTCGACCCCCAGTAGGCTGCGTTTCCTCTCTCACTGTGAAACGTTCTGCCATTGATCGTACGATAATTTAGGATGCTCGATGACATGGAGGCCGTCGAGCTCTCAGCGTCAGATCCTAAAGTCAAGTCCTCCCCCTCATCTTGAGCCTCATCAACTGCAATTGTTTCGTTGACTGCTACCGACGGATCCTGGGGCGATCGTGGAGACCGGGGTGACCGGTTCTTTGGGCTGCTAGTGTTGGACATTGTATTAATAATGGAGATTCCCAGAAGAAATGGATGGCAAACTAAAGCAAACAACAAAGTAATTTTAAAAGAAAGGAGCAGGGCCAAATCCTTTTAACCTGTTGGTTGTTTAAGAAGCACAAGTCGAGTCGGGGGCTTTCCGGTGCGAGCCCAGCAAGGGAAGTGACAAGGAACATAACATGACATTATTGCATGTTCTATGCATAGGCGACAAGTTATTGACCAATGGTATCTAAGCGTTTGCCAGGTTGTTGGTTGTCCCCCGTTTGCTGTTGCATTTGAGGAGGGGGTTTTCAGGTAAGGTGGATTTGCGCGAAAAAAAAAAAAAAAGGATAATAGACCCTGTAAAGAGGTTGTACTGTCGATTGAAAACTGGTACAGACTGCTCCTGCTGACCGCCTGTAAGAGAGAGCGGATTTTAGAGCTTGGCAGTGTTCCAATTGGTACAGGAGCTGGTTCCGTAATGTGAAGGGTCGATGGTCTTGGCATCCAGACCAGTGAATAGCAGTGAAAGATGATCTGAATTAACCATGGTCGTCATGGTTCTGCTTGGATCTAATTCTCCTTGCAGGTTCGAGCTCCATTACGGTCTGCCAGGTTCTCGAGGTTCGATACCCTGTCTCTTATTTTCGCCAGTATACCTGTTTATTGTGAGTGGCTCAATGTAAAGACAGATCGTTTTAGACCCGGGAACATCCCTTCACCTTGGGAGTCGATCAACCTTCCAGAAATAACAAAGCGTTGCCCTCAGGTCATTCGCAGTGTCTTGGAAAACCTTGAAGCCCTTCCCAAGACGAAACTGAACTTTCTTCAACGTTTCTTCTTCGCGCCAAAGATCTCCCATTGGGTTATCGATCAACGCCTCAATTTTGTAATGAGGGACCAGGTCCAGGAGAAGCTTTTCGCAGACATTTTGGAGTTTGATCCTTTCAGTTTCCAGGTTGCGAATCAAGCTCGTAGCTCGCGCTTGCACTTGCCCCATCGATACAGAGTGGAGAGACCCTCGGTGTATTTCTCCAGTGCAATAATGAGAAGAGGTATGGAGCCAAGAACGATTCCAGCGACTTCTAACCCTGACATATTTGGTAGGGATTTGAGGAGAGTAATTATCGAGGGGAAAACGAGGTCTTACTCATGAGGTTCTGTCGATTTTCAGCTCAAGCGGGGAAATATGCACTTCCAGCTAACACACCGAAATGATTATCGTTAATTCGCTGCATTGTAATCAGTTGATTTGTATTACTCACCTGTTACTTGTACAGCACGTCACTTCTCTCTCTCCAAAGGAGGTCGGGTCTCAGTCTTCTATCTGAACTAACGAGACTAAAATGGACCAAAGAATTACAACTACCGCCATGCAATGCATCAATTGCTTTGGACAGATTGTCAGAGCACCCGCAACTTTAGCCCCCAACTCGCCGACCTTCGGAAGGGATATGGCGGACCAACAGACACGATTTAATGTGTGGGCTGGAAACATCGGCGCTCACCGCACTGGCTTGAGCTCACTCGATTATCGACTTCGGGGCTCTTCACATATAAAATTCCAGGTGCTGAGTCTTCTCAAAGACCTGATTGAGCTCATGCAAGGTGCCCCTGACATCCTCACGGGAAATGGGGTTCTTTGGGACCAGATTACTGCTGGCGATGATGAAGATTTCGAAGAATCTGATGACCCTGATACAGAATTGGATCAGACCTTTGTCGATATCGCAGACGTGGTAAACTGTCTCCTTCGTTTCAGCGTGGCCATACGAAATCCTGCGCCCCACGATCGCTTTATCAAGTCTCATTCAATTGATACATCTCACTATGAGATCTTTGACATCCAGCACGTCTCGTCGAAGTTTCGAACGATAGAACCTCTCCTTGCTGAAAGACTAGGCAAGGCGATAAGTCGACGGCGCCAGTTATTCAATTACAGATTAGCTGACCGCACAAAACTGTCGCAGGGTCTCACCCACGAGGGAGGCGACGCTGAGACGATAGCCTCGTCACTTCCGGAATACCATAAAGATGTCGCTCGTGGTGGTCAGCCCTTACCCATAAATGCGATTGGGGACGAGGGCTCAGACTCTGGATTTTCCCAGACGTCATATGCCACTTCGCTGGCAGATCTCGATCAATGCCGAATCCCCCCTTTACCAAAAGAGTCATCAGAGGGTCCGTTCGAATGCCCCTTCTGTTATACAATCATTTTTGCAAACACCAGAAGTTCGTGGAAGTATGTCCCCCAACCCCAATTTTCGGGCCTTAACTAGAATGATGTTCAAGGAAGCACGTTTATGGCGATTTACGGCCATATATATGTCTGGAGAAGGATTGTGAAACTCCAGGGAGAGAGTTCTCCAGGAGGCACCAGTGGATGGAACATGTGAGACAGATTCACTGGAAGCTATACTCATGTCCACTCGCGTGTGAGTTGGAGTTCTCTTCTCCATCCGAATGCATAAAGCATGTTTTCAGAAGTCACGCGGTATCGGTAACCACTAGGGACCTAGATGCGCTTGTGTATCTGAGCCAGAAGCCCATGGACATTAAACAAGGTAACCCTTGTCCAATTTGTGCCGAAATGATGCGATCCACCTCACAATATCAGCGTCACGTTGGCCGACATCAAGAGCAACTGGCACTATTCGCTTTACCAACTGTAGAAACGGATGATAAGGATGAACGTGGTGGCGAGAGTGATTCAAGTGCCGAGTCGATGGACATGATATCTAATCAGGACGAGCGAGGCGATAGTAACAAACAACCTAAGGAGCCTGCGACCTCGTATTCGATGCTTGGAACAGACGAGATGACTGCTTTGCCAGTTAACAATCTAATTACTAGTATGACCAATGGGCTGACCGAAAATTTCATACCACGAGATGGAATTGATCGAGAGGTCATTACAGCCGATATCTGCCGCTATCTCGAGAATAAGGCCCTTGTACGACCTGGACACTATGAAGTGCGTAAGAACAAATATATACCCGTCAGTCCTAAATTCGAGGCTAACCCAGCTTCTCTGAAAACTCTAGAACCCTCAAAATGGCCAAGTAGTTCAGGGATACTATACAAGCGCTCATCATGTCTTAACCACAGTGAGTGAGGTTCGATTCCGCTTTTGTAAATGGAAAGGGAACGTTGACTGGACTCGTAAGCCATGATAAGAGATCTGAAAGCAGACTCTGAACGATGGGAATGAGAGAGGCAGGCAATCGCAAGTGTAACGCCAGGACAGTTCCGGTATCAAGACTCTCCGTCATACGGAGAATTACACAATCCACGATTCCTGTAAGTCTAGCCATAAGGTATGTTTTCTGACAGCAAGGGTACAAAAGGCTCTTATCAGACCTTTGGAGAGGGAACCAACGAGCTCATAAATGGTGCAGATAAGGTTTCGAGTACAGTAACTCTATCCAGAAAAGAATGACAATGTTCGATGCAATGTATATACAGCTCTTGTTTTGATGATATTTACAGTGGATAAATATAGTTCATAGAAGTTCAAATGTGTTTTGGGTCAATCCTCCTAGACTGGTATCCCGGATGTCACCCCGAAGATCCCATCATGCAAGATTGTTGAATATGTGGAGCGGTTTACTACATAAGAATGTCAGTTTTTAGCATCCAAAGAATGGTTTTGGACATGACTTACGATAATACCGAACCACTTGAGGTCATTGTCATCGAAATGAGGAACACCGTGTGTGATACCCTGGCCCAAGAAAGCCTAAAAATGTCAGCTATCACCTCCACCTTATGAGACTGCTTATCTTACCTGGAACTTCTCACCAAAGACCTGGCGAGTGAAAGGGCTTGCGGGAGTGTTAGGTGTAGATGACTGAGGGTTGGAAGAGTATCCAAAAACACCAGTCCACTGCTTGATCTCCTCATAGTAGTTCTGGACGTTGAGAGTAGGGTCGGCAGTTCCATGGTAGATCTGGAACTTGGGTCGAGCACCGTTGTAGCCGGGGTACATGTTCTTGACGACGTTGGCCCATTGGGTCTGAGTGTAGATGGACTTTCCTTGGGAGCAGGTTGAGTTCCATGCAGCGGGCTGGTTCTGCTGGCTGACGAAGCAGCCGGCGGGAACACCAGCATAGGCGCTTCCTGCGGCGAAGACGTCGGGGTAGGTAGCAAGCATGACGTTCTGTTCCGTTAGTAGTGTATCATTGGAGAATCAGTGTTTACTTACGGTCATCATGGCACCGGAAGATTCACCAGTGACAAAAACCTTCTTGGCATCACCGTTGTACTCCTTGAGAACAAACTTGGCCATGTTGGCGATAGAGTTACTGCATCCACCACCGTTGTGCGTCAAGGTCATCTTGGACGAGACATCCCAGCAGTTACCAGGGGTATAAGGAGTCTGAGGGTAGACAACGATGAATCCGTACTTCTCAGCATTGGAAGCCCACTTGGTACCCTGGTAGTAAGCCTGAGCGGTACCAGTGCAGTAGTGAAGAGCAACGACGACAGCAGGGTTGGACTTCAAGTTCTTGGGAACATACAAGAACATCTTGGTGCCGGTTGGGTTGCTGCCATAGCTGGTGACCTCCTTGAGCTGACCTCGAGGAACGACCTCCGCACCGAGGACGGTGCTGAAGAGGGCTAGTACCCAGAAGCTGATGATAGCTGTCAACTGCATGATGAAATGTGTTGAAAGAATGATGTGCCAAGAAGTATGGGGAAACAAAACATGACGGGTGGTGTATCAGCCAAGATATATACCCGCTCCAAAAGCCATGTGGAGGCCCATGGATCGATCTCATCTCCTGACCTTGCTCCAATGGATCGAACGGACGTGTATCCTCCGCCAGCCGTTGTTTCCAGTAGCGAACGAATCTCGTTCAGGGAACGAACTCCACACCGCTGGTCCTCAGCCTGGAATGTCGGGGTCATAATACAAATTCGGCACATGGCGGATATGCCGATGGGCCTTTTTGGCTAAAACCCCCCCCGCAATGAATTCATGCAGAGGGAAAACTGATCATTTTCCTGATTCTGACGAGGGTAAAGTACGAGTTTAGCCTGGGATAATAACCGATCGTGGTGTGTTTCAGTGGGACTTGAAACCTCGAACCTTTCCTTATTGAGACGCGGAGGAAATTGGAGCGTAGCATCGATGACTTGAGGACTATTCCACCAATTGGATGGAGGGGAAAGCTGACGGTCTTAAAACACCAGTTAAATTACACGGATTCTGTTTCCTGTCAATGCGACTATATTGCTTCGTCAGGTCATCGAAAATTTGTGTCATGACTTGAACGTGCCATGCTAGGGAGGGAGTCTGGACCCTGAGATGGGCCGGGGAAGACAAGAATGCTTAGGACATCTATCCTAAATGACAAAAAGACTGATGCAAATTCGGTACAGATTTTAGTAAACTTTACACTAGATATTTTCGATACCTTACTTCAAGGCCAGAAGCTTCAAGTCTTTTGTCGTGTTGGATAGTTTTGTTTGCTCCCCTGGCATGTCTGTTACAATGCTGGCTTTGATCCGGATATGCGGCAAGTTTGTTTAATGGGTCAGACAAGTTTTTATCAATTCGCAACGTCGCTCGCTATTTAAAAATCCATGAACGAGAAGCTGGAACATGAAAGCAGTATATTGCACAGACGCAAGAACTCAAGAGCCCCTCAATGGCGTAAAGGACAAGCATGGCTGGAAGAAGAAAATACTTGCCACTCAAGTTACATGTTGTGTGGTGCCACAAAGCTGAATCAAGAGAGCCATTAAAAGCTAGAGCATTGATTGAGCCAAGACTCCGAGCCTGGATATACTAACGACAGGGTAAACACCGACAAGAATGGAAAATGAGAAGACCACCAACGCAACCGCGAAATATTCCCGCGAGACATCCTCATCCCCTCCATCGCCATGAATCGAATCATCCTCTGCATCGCCACCATCGTCTCTCTATTCCTCGACATCAAAGCCCTGTCCTCCATCAATAAAAGACTTGAGACTCACCGACAACCCATCGGACTCGACTCTAAACCACACTCACTTTTGACCAGAATAAACAGGCATCCCACCAGAGTAAACGACCGCACAGCGGAGGACAAGCGAACAAGTGAATCTCGAAGGGTGCCAACAGATTTGCCGGTGCTAGTGTAGGCGGGTTGGACAGCGGCGATGCGATCGCGGACTTCCTCCAAGGAAAGATTGGCGCCGGCCTGGAGAGCAAACGTGTTATGGGAGAGTATTCGGCTAGAGGCTGACCTACAGACTGGAGGAGCGAGAGAGCTAGCATCTCACGACTTGAGGTTGACTCTTTGACAGCAAGGATTTTGAGATTGTCCGGGTTCTTGAGGCGCATGTGCAGTTCGCGCCAAGCAGACCCGCAACCCCCAAGAGCGCGACCACGACGCCAGATCTGGCGCCCGGTGGCAGTAGGCGAAACACTTGATCTATACGAAGTTTGGGATTCACGGCGAGACAGATTGACCACGAAGTTCCAGTACTATTTGGCACATAGGATCCAAGTCAAAATCGAAGTCAGGGAGCATATACACATCGGTAGCCGAAGAAGACTTACCAAGTCACAGACCGTTTCGTTTCGGTCGCAAAGAAGACAAGAAGTGTCACCGGACTCGTTTACAAGACAACGGCAGCGAACATCATGATCGATGGTCGCAACACAGGCCAGGCAGGGTATGCCGTCGATGCCTTCGAAGCCAACAGCCTCATCGTACTTGTAGTCAATGAAGGCGGTCGCGATCGGATCAAGGGAAGCCATGGCCGAAGTGTCAGCAGAAAGAAAGAACGCTTGAAGAGTTGAGAAGGGAACTGAATGCGGCGATGATGCAGCAAAGAAGCGAAAGAGAGGGCACCAGCAGAGATGACGAAGAGATGCTCGAGGGAGAAAAACAAAAGAGTGAAAATTCTTTCTTTGCTGTTGGCCCTGAGCGCGTAGCGCGTTGATGCTGGCAGACGAATTAAAACTGAATTGCTGCTCCTGTTCTGGCTCGCAGGCTGGCACTGGTGGACAGCTTCCAACCACCCAGCCAGCAACAAATCGTGGTCAGCATTCAATTTGGACGCGATGATGTCTACAACCGGGATGAACAGGAAAGTAATGAGGAGAAAGGGGCCGAGTTTGTCAGAAATTCACGCATCCCATGACCCCAAGCAGTCCGAGAACGGGCACACTTGATCTTGCTCCATATCCTCTCAGTGTGTTCTCGCGACGGGATGACATGAAGCGAATTGTACCGAAGCCGGTTGATCAAGTCTATGCCTGCTTCGTATTAATGTCATCTATCGTTCATCGCGCAGAGAAGTCGAGGTATTATACTAGATGGTCGGACGAGTTGGGCCATGATCCAATTCGGTTGTGAAAGGCGGAGACTCAAGTTGGTGCAGGTAACTCTTGGTAGCTCCAGTCAAGACGAAACCTGGTTGATGAAGAATATGGACTGTAAGCAAGATCGAGATTCGAGGTTTATTAAGGTGAGTGGAGGGCGTGTGGATGCGACCCTGTAAAAGGAGGAAATGGGAGAGAAGAGGGACGATAGACTTGAAACACCCGGGGCCTCGTTGGGTGACGAAGCTCGGCGACGAGTTGGCGGCCTCTCTCCAATGCATCAAGATATAATTTATACCTGGCCTCTGTTTCCTCAGGTGTACTGGTATCGGGATTTAAATCTTCGCAGAGGATCTGGCGAGTCTCTTTTGGGGGTATTTGCGTTCATTGTCGCGAAGGATCGACAATGGATTCGTTTTCGAGTTATAATAAGGTAATCGGCCAGATGGAAAACCTTTGAGACACAGGGCAGCGATGGAGCGGCGATAGACTCGTTGAGTAGAGGTTTGGAGTGTAGGAAAGCTTAAAGTAAAGAAACGGCGGAAAACGAAAAGGAAACGGCCATGGTTTAGCGATGGACTCGAGAAAGCGCGGCGATTCTTGATAGTAAGAAATCAATCAACACTGAGCGCGTTGTTCTTGTTAAAGCTTGAAGATTCCAGGAATTGGATGACAAGGAGACAGAGATATGAGCTGCTCTTACTCGAGATATGGCAGTTACTACCTGGACCCAAACATGTCTTACTGGAGGGCAGTAGAACCTGAAAGGCCACCCTCTTCTTCTACCTAGTTGCCACATGTAATCTCCATCAGCATCATCGCTTGACCATTATTTTCATCTTCAAAATTGCTACGCATTGGTGGGCTTCTACGCTTAATTGAGGTATGACATAGAGCATGGCCAATATCATCCTGAAAGAGGTCGTTTAACCGACTAAATAGCAATATATCTCCGATAGGAGAACGTTAATCCAAACCACCTGAGTTTCTAAGAGGTATCTAGTAGACCAGCATGGAATAACTACTGCACCTTGGTTAAGATAGCTCCTCGGAGCGTAATATGAGTAGTCAGCAAACTTGAAAGAAATTTCGATTATTGGTATATCTGGAGAACATTACTAGAGGCAAGGATGCCAGAGACCTTATGGAACTGCTAAGATACTGCTGTAACTGTGCAGTCCCTGTCGCCAACACTTCTCCGACGAGTATGGGTTGACCATATCTTCAATGTCGAGACAAAGCTGGTGGTCTAGGAGGCCATTCACCCATAAACAGAGACATACAGGTTCTCAACAACACAAGATCATTCTTGCGTTCACACGACACAACCCTGCTTTTTATGCAATCCTAGGGAGTCGTCTTGGGCGTCTGATAATGCGCATGCTGTTCGATCACCAACCAGAGCACCAAAGGGGCATTATTCGGCGGATGGTGACTCATGGCAACCGGTATTGGGATGGAGCGTTATTGCAGCTTCACATAAATATGAAAAGATTATGATTAGGTTTATAAGTTCTTAGGCTACTTTATGATAATCCTTATGAGTTCAGGAACGTTTAGAGTAGATTTACCTAGGCTTAGGCTGCTATTATGCTTTACTTTACAAGTCTTGAAATGACTCGCATCGCGAGTCGTAGCATCCGAGAGCCAATACCAGGTTGCATCAATATAGCAGGTGACGTCCTTTTTTGTTTTGAAGTTTATTTAGTCTTCTGAGATTGGTCTCGCTGTTGTGCAAAGCCCAGATCGTGGACGATTGGCAAGAAATTTTATGTAAGTGACTTGGAACACTGAAAGTCGAGGGACGGTGCAGACGGATATCAGCGACACCATTGGCTGCAGTGAGAAAGTGACTTTCGACACAAGGAGAAAAACCGTCTTATTGTTAAAGTTTAGAGATCATTGGCCCAAACGAGTAGAAAGACTGTGGCAAGATATACTCTTTTAAAAATAGCTATATTATTACGAGAGATAGATAGGCTTTAGGATACACGATTCTGTCGTGTGAATACGAGAATTTCTTAGGAATGTAGACCTTTGTCAGGCTCACAAAAATCGTCTTTCAAGGAATAGGCACATCAGCAACACTAAGTGTGCATATGTCGTGCATGGATCAAAAAATATTTTTTTTGAAAGGAGCTAGTGACGTCCCAGAGTCACAGTTTAATCCATTGAGAAAGGTTTCAAGACGTAGCAAGTGGTAACGATCAAAGAATTATTTTCACGCAACGAATGATAATAGCCTGCACCTGCACCCTTGATACCCAAAGCTAGGTTTTTTAAACTTCTTCCGGCGAAAATGTTATATTTGAGCACATTAAAGTAAAAGTATAGAAAATATCACCAATTCTGAGTTTGTTTGGGAGACTATAAAACCCAGCTCTACTCTCTTCAAACCTTTCCTCCAGGCAACTATCCAGTCTCTATCTTCCTCGCTGCCTTCTTTCCTCCTCATGCTTGCATCTCATCCCTCTTCTGGATTTCACAGCCGACAATATCGACCATGGAGTCCCGTGAGGAGCCCGACATGATACCCATCTATGAAGACGAACCGCGCATCATCTGGGTTGGCGATCGTGAAACTCTGTACGATGTCCTCGACGATCTTGATGATATCCCAAAATTCAAACCACGTCTCTTCATCACCCTCGAGGGGAATTATGTAGGACACGATACTAGAATCTCCATTATGCAGATCTACAACGCTGTGTCTCACCGCCTCTACCTCATCGACGTGTATTGGCTCGGCGCCACGACATTCTGGGCGTTTAATAGGTTCAAGACTTTTCTCAAGGGTATTTTGGAATCCGAGGATATCATCAAGGTCTTTTTTGACGCCAAGAAGTACTCCGAGGCACTGTATAGTCAGTACAAGATCAAGCTTGCTGGGGTTCACGATCTTCAGCTCATGGAGCTCGCAACTAGCGAGAATCCCTACAAGCTCAGTGATATTGACGGGTGTTTCTCCCGAGACGCCCCCCGGCTGTCCGGAAATGGGGGGCTGCTATGGGATCTTCGAGGAGCGGCCCCTTCCTGGAGTTCTCACCGGATACGAGCCCGATATGTGCAGATCTTCCCTGAGCTATACGCTTGTTACGACGCTAAGCTACGGGCACAACCTGCGCAACGGGAAAACATGATATCTGCTTCGAAAGCCATAGTTGCACTGTCGCAGACCACGATATGTGCTACTGAGGAATGGCATCAGGCTCTCATGCGTCGTGATGCCGACTGAAGTTATATCTTGTTCACTGTGGCTTTTTTTGGTGGATTCTGGGACGCCATAACAATTTGCCAAAGATTTCCATGGTTTTTCAGCTGATGAAGACTTGATATGGATAAAAGTTGTTGGGAGTACTGCGAAACATATGGCTTAAAAAAGTCCACTTGCTCGGATGACAGAAAACAGCCACCCTGTGACTGTGGCTAGACTAGATTCGATAATTAATAGGTTTGTGCCCATTGAGAGGGTGCCCATTGAGAGGGTGCCATGCGCGGAATAAACAAAGAGAGAGACATATAGTAACGAATGAATGAAGACCATCTTATCCCATCTATCCCACTACATCATCGTGACTATATTCTCCATGCATTCCCATTCGGGCGGATAAGCAAGCTGCACAAGTCCCGTTAGAGCATGTCAATTCTCGGAGCCGGTACTTCTAGCTCCGCTTCTAGACACCCGATTACGGCAGTTGTCTTCCGAACTTTCTCTCACGAGGTTTCATCCATGATTAAGGAGCGCTAGACCCTTGTCGGAATAATTGGTGAAACATCCTTCATCCGAGCTGTGATTGGAGGAATAACGAACATCCCTGTACCGATCCTACGGCATCTTGGGCGTATTTAGTTGGTACACTTAAAGGGGAGAGCTGCTACTTAAGAGAACAAATTTCTCCCTCGAGGTGTTGAGTGCTTTTCAAATCATCGTTAAAATGGTGCTGCTTCGATTCTTGGCATTTCTGTCCTACTGCTCGGTCGCTCTGGCCTTGACCTACAAGGGCGTCGACTGGTCCTCCGTTCTTCTTGAAGAACAGAAGGGCATCCAATACACTGCCGGTGGTTCCGCTCAGCCACTTGAGAAGATCCTCGCCGCAAATGGCGTCAACTCAGTTCGCCAGCGAGTCTGGGTGAACCCATCCAATGGCGACTACAACCTCGACTACAACCTCAAGCTCGCCAAGCGTGCCAAAGCCGCGGGCCTCAGCGTCTACTTGACACTTCACTTCAGCGACACTTGGGCTGATCCTGGTCACCAAGCGATCCCCTCGGGATGGCCGACCGATATCGATAACCTGGCCTGGCGGCTGTATAACTATACTCAACAAGTCTCCAACGCGTTCCAGTCTGCTGGTGTTCCGCCTGCCATCATCTCCATTGGCAATGAGATCACAGCCGGCCTCCTCTTCCCCACTGGCTCGACCAAGTCTTACTACAACATCGGACGCCTTCTCAATTCCGCAGCCTATGGTATCAAGGACTCTTCTATCAACCCTAAGCCCAAGATCATGATTCATCTCGACAAGGGCTGGGACTGGGGTACCCAGGAATACTTCTATACCCAAGTCCTCAACCAAAAGGGTCTTACTCTCGGTGCCTTCGATGCCATGGGTGTTTCATACTATCCTTTCTACGGATCTGGCGCCACTTTCTCTGCTCTCGAAACATCTCTTACAAATATGGCCAACAAATGGGGCAAACAGATCTTCGTCAGTGAGCTTGATTGGCCGACCTCGTGTCCGTCGCCAGCGCAGCCCTTCCCAAGTGATATGAAGAATATACCATTCTCTGCCGATGGCCAGACGCAGTTCATCAAGAAGGTGGCCAGCATTGTTAGTAAGGTCAAGGGAGGAGCTGGACTATACTACTGGGAACCTGCTTGGATGAACAACCAGGCCCTTGGCTCATCTTGTCCCTCGAACACCTTGTTCTCATGGCCTGGCAAGGCACTGTCGAGCCTCTCTGTATTCAAGAGCATTTAAACGGACCGGCCTTGTCGGGCCTGAACTTTTCATCACATATATGCAGCGAATAAGTACATATGCAAATACATAAATTGAACTGATTGCCCACATTAAAGTGATGTTTGCTGTTGTCTAGTTAGTTCATGGCAAATCTGTCACAAGAGGTCAAACATACGCTGTGCCTTACTCGGATCTCTTGCGCACTATCCTTGGTAGCAATACGGATGGGGTTACCTCGAGATTGAGAGCTGCCACCTGGATAGTATTTTAGCCCGTGGCTTTGAGGTTTCGCTATGTTCATGCAACATGTTGCTGATCGGTCTGTGAGCGATGACTCTAGATCAATGAGGCTCCTCACTGTATTTAGCTACCACAAATGTGACCAGATGTCCCTCCCGAGTTCGAGCCTCTTGCCTTCGGAGCCCTTGACCCTATTCATTCGTTATCGGTGTGGTCCTTTTCACGCCAATGGCTAGTGCCTTCAGAGCCTCGGCTGTTTACCGAGTCATTATTGCACCATGTAGATCCCAAAAGTTGTTCAAGTCTTCTTCTTTCAACGCGATTATGCACCATATAAAATACCTAGACTACTGGCAAGGCTATTCAGTTCGTATCAGTTACACAGCAAACTGTCAAAACACTCTGAATGGGACCCTAAGCATTCAAAAAATCCCTAGCTTCTTTATAACGACTTCGCCTACCAGCATGACAGCCGCCACCAAAGAATCAGCAGCAACTCATGGGCTTCGCCTTTCCCATGGGGTCGAAACAGCATTCCTTGGCGATGAAGTTTACCGCTCATTCTTTTTGTGGTTGCGTCTGCGGATTCTGCCAAACCATGCTGAGCAAGTCTGCAATGGGCTCAGCCACCTTTGGAGAGAGTGGGCTTGATGTTATTAGGACATGAATACTGTGGCTGGAGACTACCTGCGATGTTTGGCTCAGATAAGGTTCGCCAACGCATCGCGGCTTTTAATCCCGCCCACACTGGCTTTGATGACGGAGCTGTAGCTATTAAATGCAATTCTTCGGGCTAGTCTATTTGAGTGGCTGTGGCGGTGAATAACGTTGAGAACAAGGCCGAATTATGCGTAATGGTTCTAAATCAGGCATCGATCAAACGAACTGCGCCACTGTGTACTCCTCGACTGTGGCGCTCCAGTCACTCAGCGTCACGGCGAGAATATTTTCAGTGTTCGATCCTAGGTTCTACAGCTTTGATGTGGAGATATGAGGAACGGTGTAGCAATGAGGGTGAAGCCGCGATAGGATGGTGGATAGTCGTAGGCCGGTTCTGGTGCCAAAGCTCGAACAGTCAATAATTGATGACGAGCAAGACATATCTTGCGCTTGGGCAACAGACGATTTGGCAGGAATTCTTTTGATAGAAATCGTGTCTTGGATCATTGTAGAAGAGGACCTGTTCACAGTATGATTTAGAACTTCGCAACGGATACATAAAAAATCCAGAACCCAAGGTAATGTGCAGAGCCGTATATACTTCTAGGTACTGCGATAACGGCTAGGGGGAAGAGGGGCACCAATACCGTCCTGCTCACTACTCTCCACCTCAGTCTATTCCATGTTTTGGTGACGGCGCTGAGGAGTGGCTTCGGCGGGCCCACGGCGAGAAACACCCTGCCCGGCAAAACGAACGATGATACGAAGGGTCGGATTACTGGCCGCGACACATCTCTCTATCACAGCGATGAAATCGGCGGGGAGTTCCTTAGGCCAAGACGCTTTCTTGCGATGATTCATGTTGGGGAGAGGATCATGGAAGGCGAGGGGCAGCCGATCGCTAGCTTCACTGGATTCTCGGGCGTACGAAGGGGTGATGCGACTGATGTTGTCCTCAATCTCATCATCGTCATGCTGCTCACCACCAGCCTAAATGGAGTAAGAGTCAGCGACGAAGCATCAGAAACTGATAGGCGACCTGACCTGGACTCGGTAGATGAGGGAAAGGTATTCACGGATGGCGGCAAGCTCTCGGACTTGAAGGACAGGGATCCCGATTAAGCATTAGGGGTCCTCCTATCGTTGCGCGGCAGTCAGCATCTCTTGGAATAAATCTCTTCTCGCCCTCAGATCTGTTTTTATTTCTTCCTCGTCGATGCTCGTTTTATTAGCTTCATCTTATGTCATTAACTTTTCCACGTTTATAATACTCTCTTGACGTCTGCAATTCTAAGAACTTTACGCCCTGGTTGTTAATCGATATCTATCGCCATCGTCGTTGCAGCTACCTTTGCGCAGTTTGAATTCGACGAAGAGAGAGGGTTCCGTCGCCTCGCTGACCTCGAACTTCTTTGCGCTCTTTCTGCACATCGAGACTGTAAAATGCAACGGCAAAATAAAACTAGTCTAAGAGTTAACCAAGCTTTACCTAACCTAACCTAAACTACCCTAAGATGCTCTAAATTTATCCAAATCTTGCAGCCACTTGGGACGAAAGTCAAGAGTCTTCTATTGCTTACAAGACTGTCTGTTTATACGTTAATGATCCGACAACAATCCAAATGAGGGGTAGACCAGACCATCACAATCAATAGTTAGTTACCCTGAACTTCCTTCCAATTACAGGCGGCCAATTCCCGCCCGTAATTGGCTCACCCCAAACCCAACTTTAAATTCAAGGATCGACGCCTTATCAACAATAACAGCAATAACCTTCCTTCCTTATCTTTTCTTACGAACTTTTGTCGCTCTCCCAAGAAACCAAGTCTTGGCCAACGCAACATAACACGGGGAACTTTGTAAAAATGGTCCAAAGCGGCAGGTCTCAAACCCCTGTAGCATTCCACATCTAAACCGCTGCGGGAAGGCGCCTATCTCACTAGCCCTTGTCGATCCCCGGTATAAGCTTAATATCGTCCCGGAAGTTAATCCACTATAAGAACGCCGTGTAACGCGTTGAATTCTTTTTCTTGTTTTTTTTCTTTCTCCTCAAGGTTCTCTACTGCAGCCTCGATTCAATCGTTCATCATGGCCGCGAAATTACTGGCCACGCTTTTGGCGCTCGCCCCGCTGGGTTTGGCGATTGATCCTCCTAGACAGCCGCATCAACCTGTCGGTGAGGGGGATCGCCTACTTACCTTCAATGAGACGAGTCCAAGCGCCAAATTGAGACCTACCACCATGAGTGTAGAATGGTCTTCCGCTGGACAAGACGGAAACTATATTGTTCTCAGCGACGATGGCGATCTCGTTCTCGAAGACATCGTCAGCGAAAAGACAACAAAGTTCGTCACAGCCGACAAACTCCCCAAGGATCTGCACGAGTATTGGATCAGCGGTGATGCCAAGCGCGTTCTCGCCGCCTCAAACTACACCAAGCAATACCGATACTCGTATTTCGCTGATTATTTCATTCTTGACGTCGAGTCTGGCGAGAGTGAACCTCTTGTGAAGGATCAGGTTGGCGATATTCAGTATGCGCAGTTTGCGCCGAGTGGAGAGGCTGTTGCATTCGTGCGGGGCAACAATCTCTTCATTCGTGATGCGGAGGGCAAGGTTGACCAGATTACGACTGATGGTGGACCGGATATGTTCCACGGTGTGCCTGATTGGGTGTATGAGGAGGAGATTTACGGTGGACGCTCAGCGCTGTGGTGGTCGCCTGATGCCAAGTTCCTTGCGTTCCTGAGCTTCAATGAGACTGGCGTCGGGACTTTTACTATTCCTTACTACATGGATAACCAGAAGCTTGCGCCTACATACCCTCGCGAGCTTGATCTTCGATACCCCAAGGTTGGATCCAAGAACCCCACCGTCGAGCTTAACATTCTTGATCTTTCGGGGGGCGAATACAAGCCTGTCCCTGTTGATGCCTTCGAACCCGAGGAGCTCATCATTGGTGAAGTTGCTTGGGTCACCAAGGATCATAGCTCCCTCATCTACCGCGCTTTCAACCGTGTTCAAGACCATGATGCTCATGTTGTCGTGAATCCTGAGACGCTCAAGTCAAAGGTCGTTCGGGAGCGAGATGGCAGCGATGGATGGCTTGAGCATACCCTTTCCATCTCCTTCGTTGGTCCTCTGAGTTCCAAGAAGAAGGATGCTTATTACGTTGATGTTTCAGACGAGGATGGTTGGAACCACATTTACTTGTATCCTGTCAACGGCGGAAAAGCTATTCAGCTTACTTCTGGCAAGTGGGAGGTTTCGACTATTCTCAACATCGACACTGCTAAGAAGCTTGTTTACTTCCAAGCTTCGAAGCGACACTCTACCGAGCGACATGTCTACAAGGTCTCGTGGGAGACTAAGAAGATCACCCCTCTCGTCGATGACAAGACCCCCGGCTACTGGTCTGCATCGTTTTCTTCCAGCGGTGGTTACTACATTCTTCACTACCAGGGCCCCGACGTTCCGTACCAGGAGCTTTACACCACCAACACTACCAGCAAGCCCGTTCGTACTTTGGTCGACAACAAGGCTTTCTACAAGAACATCACGCAGTACAGCATGCCCAACATCACGTACTTTGAACTCAAGCACCCGGATGGTTACTCTCTGAACGTCATGCAGCAACTCCCCGTCAACTTCGACCCCGCGAAGAAGTACCCTGTTCTTTTCACTCCCTACGGTGGACCCAACTCTCAGCGCGTCGCCAAGTCTTTCCAATCCCTAGGATGGAAGTCTTACATTTCGTCTGATCCTGAACTTCAGTACATCGTCTACACCGTCGATAACCGCGGAACCGCCATGCAAGGCCGCAAGTACCGATCACTCGTTACATCTCAGCTCGGAAAGCTTGAGCCGCTTGATCAGATCTGGGCTGCGGAACAGCTCATCAAGAGATATAGTTTCATCAACGCTGATAAGGTTGGAATGTGGGGCTGGTCGTATGGTGGATATCTCACAGCCAAGACCGTCGAAGCAGACTCTGGCGTGTTTAGCTTCGGTCTCATCACAGCTCCTGTGTCAGACTGGCGCTTCTACGACTCCATGTACACAGAGCGCTACATGAAGACTCTGGACGAGAACAAGGATGGATATCTCGAGACAGCCGTCCACAACGTCGATGGTTTCAAAAACATCGCCGGCAGTTTCAGTATTCTTCACGGCACTGGTGATGACAACGTTCACTACCAACATGCCGCTGCTATGATTGATCTTCTTGTTGGCGCGGGCGTGTCACCTGAGAAGATGAAGATGTTTGCGTTCACGGATAGTGATCACAGTATTGTGTACAATGGCGCTTCGCCTTGGATTTACAAGTATCTTACTGCGAGGTTGTATGATGAGGTTAAGAGGCAGCCTAAGGCTAAGGCGTTGACTCATCAGTGGAATAAGAGACGGGTGGAGATTGTGGCATAAGTTCCTTTGCTCCTTGGGTAGATTGATAGAAAAATAGAAAGTCTATGCAGTGCAAGAATTACTGATCTACGGATGTGAACCCCAGTCGCGTACTTATCTATGTACTCAAAGGACTTGGAAAGTATTAGGTTACTTATGGTCGCATCATCATAAGCTTTAGAGTCCTTATGATGATCTCTTCTTAAACTTTAGGATCCTTAGTATGAAGGTTAGTCCTAAGGTTAGGCCTAAATCAGACATTCTTCTCTTTATCGCCGACCGTTTGCTTTTCCCGTCTGTAACCCACCGTGTAATTCACCATGTTGATGCTGCCTACTATTGCGCCTGCCTTGGCGGAGTTTGTCTACGATAAGGATATCAGCTTTACCCCGTTCACTGAACCAGATGAGATTCCCTATTTTGGGTGCCTCATGGCCATCCATCGCAATGCGCGTCTGCTCTGCGTCGCCAAAGACTCGGCAAAACACATTTGTCTTTGCTGCCAGAACTCAAGAAAGAAATGCGGGTCTGTAAGTTATCGTTATTTATTTATTAGTCTTGACTTTGATCTGACCTTTATCGGACATCCCTCGCGAAATCCTCGGCGCCACCCAATTCTACTGGAACCACGTCTCTCGACTCCAAACCCTCGCTGCCACCCCCGAATCTCCCGATACCAGACAATCCTAGCGCCTTTCGTCCGTCCTCGAAGACTGCGCTTCGGCTTAGCGAGCCGTCGCCGAACAGATCCCGGACCCGCTCAAGTTGTCGAGCGACGATCCTGACGTTGCTTTGACCATCCAGACACAAGACTCTGCGGCGAACCGCGAGTTGCTCTCCTTGCAACTCCTCCAGTCTGTAAGTACAGCAATTGCTTAGCATTCATTCGCCGTTGATACTCCTTAGGCTGGTGCCAATTTTTCCCTTAAGGAAATGCAGGCTCGAGTTGCGGCCGCGACGCCATTATACGCTCGCGATGACTCGAAGGCTGTCCGTATGCGCAAGGCGCTCCATCGTCTCCCCAATGCCGACAAGACCCCCTATGGGCCTGATGATGGGGACCTCGAGGATTTACCCCTGGAGCTTAATGACACCCTCATCGACCAGATGAACGAAGCCCGCCACAGTGGGTGTTCTGCTCCTGTCTGCCCCCCTGTGTTTGTCGGAATGGTACCCGTCAAGCGAGGGCCTGCCCAGGCCACACCGCGTAAGCGCAAGGCCTAGGATTGAGTTGTCTCCGCGGGGTTTATTGTTTTGCTATTCGCGCCCGTTGGGCAACTTTCTTCATCTACTCCGCTGGTTTGGCGAAAAAGGTACGGCTTTACTCTTACATCTTAGCTACGATCTATCGCGGTAGGACGATCGACATCAGTGTCGGGATTCCCGCTCTCAGCTGCAGTGTCACCACTGACAATCCAGACTTATCGTGCTTCTCCCAAGCTCTCCATTTCTGTTTCTGATTCACCATCGAGTCTCTCCCCACCGTAGCTATCATATGGCACAGGTTCCTCAGCATTCCTTCTCCAAAGGATCCATTTGTGCACAAAGTAAGGAAGCTGTTCATGCCATACCCACATCACCAGTTGGATCTTTGGGCGCTTATAGACCGTTTCAAGGTCTTCCAGGCTACGGCTGCTCGTCTCTTCAATCAAGAAGAGGACGAGGATGAATGCGATGACATTGAGGACGGAGAAAACTCCCAGTGTTCCTCTTGCATGAAAGGCATCATAGATTTCTGGCAATAAGATGGAGAGAAGACCAGCGAAGAAGAGGTTCATAGTAATGGCGACAGAGGCCCCCTGGATCATGTTAGGGCAGGATGATGGTGGATCTGGGTCAACTTACTGCTTCACGATGAGATGATAGGAAACTTAGTCAAGTTAGTGTTTCTGTAGATCTTGTTGTCAAAGGTAGGGGTACTTACCTCTCAGAAGCTAAAGTAAATGGGATCGGTCCTGAACCCTCGTCAGCTATGTTTCTGGTCCATGGGTACTGGTTACCCACCTAGGCCAGTGGCATAAGCAGCCACGAAACCTGTATCAAGTCAGAACAGCCCCCTCATACCGGCTGCGAGAACTCACAGAATACGAAGACCGTTCCCACGATGTCTCGAGCCTCTATACCCTTTGAGAAATTGTCGTTGTACGCAATAGCTGCCGCCATGAGAAACAGGCTCATCAACGGTAGTGTGAAGAGTAGCCATCGCCTGCGGCCAAGCGTGTCGGTAGATCCTGCGGCAGTTAGTTTATTATAAGCTAGAACCAAGCAGCTACTAATCTCGTAGCAAGTAGTCCGAATAGAAAATTTACACCACCTGTACCGTAGAGTCAGTGTCAGACACGAGGTCATACGAGTGGAGACCCTTGAAGCACGTACCAAATCCTACGCTATATGCTAGAGTTGCCTTGAGGTTGTCGTATGCCCCACTGAACATCTTGTTCGAGTAGAATGCGAAGACGTTGACTAAAAGTGCTAGTACATCTTATCAAAAGGCCTTTGAACGTACCTCCGCATAGCTGCTGGGCCAGGGAGACTATGCAGGTACTGTATACCGCATTTCTCAAGAATCTTGCTTGGAAAAGGGTCGAGTACTGCAGCTTTGATAGGTTCAAGGATGCTACAACTCGTCCCATATATGTGAGTCCGTTGTGCTTAATCCTCTCTATGCTTGTCTGGTCCAGCTCCGTCCTCTGGGGACGGTTGGGCCACCATATAAGGATGAGTGCTGCAATCACAAGACCTTGAGTCTACTTCTCGAAGCTCTAAATGGGTCGATGCACCGGTCAAGCCTGACGCGTGCGGATCCAGATAGTCATGACGCTTCATCTCTGATCGACATCAATTCGGCAGATGCATATGGCAAGGCAGCTCTATTTATGGCATGTGCGCAGGGCAACTTGAGAATGATGCGGAAGCTCCTCGACGCAGGAGCGCATGTGAATGCCGCAGACAAGACGGGAGTGTGCCCTATACTTGCTTGCTCGGCTAGGACTGGAATATCATTGGCAAGGAGGGAGGAGATGATCCTACGCTTGCACGCTAAGGGTGCAGACCCGGATCAGCAGTATATCGATGGAAACACGGCGAGGAAGGAACTCCGAAGACTCTTCTCGTCGAGTAAAGCGGTGAATAAGTTCCTATCTCTTAACCCTGCAACAGAGTTGGAGAGGTTGGAGAAGAAGGCTAGAGAGGAGAGGAAAGGCAGTGACGCAGTTGCGAGCACGACTAGAAGCATGCTTTCATTGAGACGGGTATTTAGTTCAATTAGTTGGGAGACACGGAGTTCGTCGCCGTCAAGTTGGCCTTTTAACTCCTATTTGGTGTTTTGTAGGGAAGTCTTGACTTATTTTCAAACCTCTTCCTGGAGAATTGAATTCTTCCCACTCATGAGCTGTCTAGTACATCCACTGAAGTGGGCTTCCTCATATGTTGTCTATAGCAGACCTTCCCCTGTCCGTCAGATCTAATTATGTGCGTAATTTCGTAGCTAATGCGACCAATATGTTATTTTCTGACAAGCTCCTTTCCAATGGGTATAAAAGCCTTGCGTGTGACGAGAAAATTTCATTCCGAAATTGAAGACAGTCCAGATTGTTATCGAAGTAAGCTAGCTTTCAGTCGCAAGTCCTAGCTACGATCTGCTGTGGTGGGATGATCAATATCAGCTGTAGATTCACCAGCCCCAGTAGCAGTGGCATCGGCCTCAGTAGAAGAAGCAGCATCATCGGTAACAGGATCAGCGACTTCAGTTGCAGGAGCATCAACATCAACCGCCGTCTCCTTCGCCTCATGTTCACCATTACTTATCCAGACCGCCGCCCTCTTCTCCAAAAACGCAGCAATACCCTCCTTAGCATCCTCACTCTTCGCATGCAGCGCCATAACTCTAGCCGCAAATTGAGTAGCCTGATCGTATCCATCACCATACGTTTTTCCAAATCCAAACTGCGACCAGTATGCCCATTTTCCTACAGCCTGCTGCTGGGGCGACATTGAAGCTAGTCGCTCAATCACAGCTGCTACACGTTTTTCAAGAGCCTCTTCTGGACCTTCGCCTGGTGAGACTTTGACAACGTCGACGGCGTCTGGGTAGTCTGATGCTTTGATTGGTTCTGCTGTGGCGAGGAGTCGATATGTCGCCGCTGCGGGAAAACGTCGTGAAATTGCTGTTGAGGGACTAGTGCATGGTAACCCGATCTTTGCTCCTGGGAGAGCAAACTGGGTGTCTGGTAGAGCAATGGGGAAGTCGGTGCTCATGGCAAGTTGGAATCCAGCAGCCGTCGCAAGCCCTTGGATTGGACAAACAACTGGGACAGGGCTCCTCCGAATGGTCATCATGACATCGGAGCAAAGGTTAAACAGAGTCTTGACATCATCCCGACTCATCTTAGACAGCTCTTTGAGATCATGGCCCGATGAGAAGACAGGCCCTTCGCTTCTAAGGACAAGAACATCAGGTGCACCAACACGTTGTTTCTTCCATTCAGATGCGCTGACGAGCCAGCCCCAACGCTTCCATTGCTTCGAGGTTGGATCTTGTAAGGCCTCTTCGAGCTCTTCGAGAGCGTTAGGGGTGAATTTGGGGAGCAGGCCCATTCGCCTGGTAGGTCGTAATGTGAGGGCGCTGTCGAGCTGGGACTTGAGGTCTTTGAGCACGGGGATGCTGAGGGCGTTGCGCTTGGTGGGGTTTGAGAGACGGATGTAGGCGACTCTTGGGGGGAGTTTTGGGAACGGCATTTTGGTTGAGTTTGTGATATATTCGTGTTTATGTGATGAGAGATGTCGGATTGCAATGATGACTTTGGTGGTTGATGATATGATGTGAGTTTGGTGGCTAACCCCGCACTTTCTGTTGTCTGCTCAACCTCGGGCAGTACATACATAACCGTGATTTAACGAGAATTGAAATGCAGTAGTGACCACCATAGAAACACTGTCAAAAGTAAATCCCCTACATCACTATTCTTCCTTCTTCTCTCCGTTCTCTTCCTCGTATCTAGGATTTCCTCTTCCTCTCCTCTCCATAATCGCCCTCGACTCCCCTCTCTTCCCCTCCGTAACCTTCATCTCCATAACCCTCTCATAGAACGGAACACTCTTCTCCCAATCACCCGTAGCAAGCATACTCTTTCTCAAATGAGGCATTGACTCCGAAACTTCATTTACACATTCCATAAGCCATGTGCCTAGTCCTTCGCTGCGGTAGGCGGGGGAGACCCAGACATCGGTTATGTAGAGGACTGTTGTGAAGTCTGTGATGCAGCGCGCAATGCCGATGAACTTTGGACCGGAGGGTTTCCTCTTGGTGGGATTACCGGGAGACGGGGTTGGTGAGTCTTGATCTGTGTCGTAGAGCCCGAAGCAGAGGCAATTGTCGAGCATTTCGCGGGTCGCGTCTTCTGGGAGAGGTTTCGCCCAGTAAATTTCGTCGGAGGTGAAGACTTTGATGACCTCATTGACTGGGATCAATGAGGGGTCAGTTGAGATGAGAAACTCGTCTCGTCTCCATGACTTTTGTCGTAGCTGAGAAGCTGCTGTGGCCATTTTGTGAATTTCAAAGGAGGTTGATGATGTTGACTTTGGAGTTGAGAGTTTTAACGGCCTGGCCTGACTTTGATGGATCCGCCTGCCATATCCGTCTGTACTAGCTCTTTGCAGCAAGCTGAAAAGGCACGAGACTCTCCCGAATAATCTTTCAGGATGTTCCAAGGGTGATATTACTCAATAAGAACCCCTCTAAGTTTCGGGTTCCAAACGCATTCATTGATGTGAGCGTTCGAGATTTTGGTGAGGACCATTTTGAATGAGAGGACTGGTGCTCAAAATATAGAGCCAGGATAGTGTGCTTTCACCATTCGCCGCAAGACCAAGAGAACATAACCATCCATTCTCTCGCGAAATCAGATTCGACAACAGTCTTTAACAGATCGTATCGCGCTTTGAGCAGTTAAAACAATCAAACTGCGCAAGATAACGTTGCTGAAGTCTTTAGCCTGACTAAGCCCCCCAGGATGAAATTGCGCCATTGTTATCAAGATTGAGCAAGCAGTTGATCAACATCGGAAAACATCTTCCCCTCCATAGCGTGGCATCTCATGCGGAGAAGTCAATCACGACATCGCTATCTCCATTGATATGTCAGCGTATCAAATGTCGCGCATATATATCAACTTGACTATCTTCCTCCAGCCCTCATTTGGAGACGATAACTTGCACCCAAACCTGTAAACTCAGCCAGTATTCAACACGATGCCATCTGCTATCTCAGAGATTCCCCAATACTCCTACGTCCCAGAGACAAAGGAAGATCTTGACTGGGCAGACTGTACCTCCCCTCATCCCCTCTTCCCCATATGTATCTGACCCTCCCAGTGGCAAACATTGATCTGTCAAAATATGGTACTCCCGAAGGCAACGCTGAGCTCGCGCAAACGCTCATCGAAGCAATCCGCACCAAAGGCTTCTTCTACGTAACCAAGTTTGACATTACCCAATCTGCCATTGACAGGCAATTCGCTCTTGGCAATGCCTTTTATAACCTTCCCATCGAAGAGAAGCTCAAATATGTTCCTGATCTTGATGCGGGAGAGTATAATGGCTACAGACCAGGTGGACGAAGGATCCTGTCGGGTGGTGTGAAGGAGAAGACTGAGGTTTGGAACATGGCTAGTAAGTTGATCTAATGATCAAATTAACTTGCAGTACTGACTTGGTGTAGCGGACAATGGAAAGATCACGCAGCCTGTACCTAAGTTGTTGAAGGATCACATCGATGAAATCACCACTTTCGCCAAGGTAACCCATTCACCCTCGTTGACCCCAACCATACTGACACTCAACTCAAGGACTTGCACGAGAAAGTCCTCGATCCTCTCTACCATCTCACAGCCCTCGCCCTCCAAATCCCAGAAGACCATCTCGTCAACCTGCACAAATGGGGAACTCACAACGAATCCCACCTCCGCTACATGAAATACGGAAAGTTCTCCCCCGAAGAGATTGAGAAACTCGAAGATGGTCTTTGGTCTCGCGGCCATACTGATCTTGGCTCATATACTCTTCTCTTCCGTCAGCCTGTAGCGGGTCTTCAGATCAAGGATCACAAGACTGGTGATTGGAAGTGGGCTAAGCCGCTTGATGGAAGTTTGACGGTTAATGCTTGTGATGCGTTGAGTTTTCTTACGGGGGGTTATGTTCAGTCTACCATCCATCGAGTACGTCAAACCCTTCTCGCCTATTTAACAGACTAACAGGTTTAGGTATCTGTTCCTCCTAAGGATCAACGTGACGTAGACCGTCTTGGTCTTTTGTATTTCTCCCGCGCTGAGAACGATCTTGTGCTCAAGACTATTGACTCGCCTCTTTTGAAGCGTGAGGGTTTCACTCAGAATGAGTTTGAGAGGGGAAACCATCCTGTCCCGACTATGGGAGAGTTTACAACGTTGAAGCAGACGTGGCAGCAGTCGCAGAAGAGAGGAATTACGTATGATGAGTTGGAGGGACAGCAGATTCTGCCTGGCTTCCATGGAAGAAGTTTCAAGTAGTTCTAACTTCAGGGTAGGCGAGAAAGCTTAAGATACGAGTCACAGAAATGACAGACATCGCTCATAGTTCGTTTGATTTTGGCATTGCCATTTATTATTGAATTATACTGTTCTTGAAGTTCATTGAAATCCCAATCGACATTCTTCAACGTCTGCGAATATTGTTATCAGCACACGTGGATAACCCATACAAATGCCCATCAGAACCCGTTGACTGAGCCCATTTCGCAACATCAACATCCCTCATCCCATTGCTTGACACAGTCTCCACCACAACACTCGTCTCTGGCGAGATAATCTGCGACACAGCATGCCATGCATTCCCCAGAATAGAGCTCTTTGTCGAAGCCATAAACATGATAATGGTTATCAACGTAAGAGCCAAGTGCAGGATAACACCCGATAAGATAATGGTCAAGCCCGTCCATTGATTCGGGATGAGAACTCGTTTGACATTGATTGTGGTGACCGACTGCTGTTGGGTGAAGTAGGGTAGGATATCGTGGAAGATCATCTGGTAGAACCGAAAGAAGAGCTCCTGGACCGCTCGTGCTGGATCATCCGTTTCTTGAAGAACACTCTGAAAGAGATGCGAATGTTCTGGGTGCGCCGGCCAACTCGCCACTGTATCAAACCACCCCAACAAAGCATCGTTGTTAAAAGCCCATCCGCCAGAAATGCTGTAATCGAAAAGACTGAAATGTATCATACTGTAGACGAAGTTATCCCAGTCTTCTATCCCTGTATCCGCCAAGGATTCTGGCCCTGAGAGTATCTTGAGATCGAGAATGCCTCGTGCTTCAGTATCAGAGGTCGATACGCCTATGCCGAGCTGTTTCAGAAGATTTGTACCATTCTTGCCCTGGAGTGTTTTCCACTTCGCAATAGACGTGGGCTCAGATGATATCCCTCGGCCTGTCATGGTGACGTTGTACAGAAGCGGTGTGTTCTGGCTGAGGAAGCAGACGCTCGCTTGGAAGAGTTGAGTGCCATTCTCACTCATAGCTGTCGTCCATGGACCTTTGCTCTTTGACTTTGTCATTTGCAAGTCGTTGGGAATTGTTACATTGAGCCACCCATCTGTAGCCTCGTCATACATTGGCCTCAGCTGGTGCAGGATATCGCTTGCGTTGAGAAGGAGGATTGGATGAAAGTTGTAAGGCTGACGTGAGAGGGGGTTTGTGAGACTTTTATTTTTAGGGGCTAGTTCTTTTAAGTTGAAACTGCACAGCGATATTGGCCAGGACGTGGAGTTTGTTTGATCCCATTCGTTGTTGATACGGCACGATAGCGTCGCGGGATATGAACCATTTATGCTAGGCCCTGACTCCCAACCGGTTGAGCTGTTGAATTCTGCTTGGAGATAGAGACCTTCTGTAGCGTTGTTTCCTGTGTATATATACTCGAATGTAGCATTATTGAAAGTTGGTGCTACACATGCTGTCCTCATGTTGCTGACAACCGTAGTCCCAGAGTAATACTCAAGAGAAGTTCTGTCGTCAACATTGGCCATCGGTATCATGGCTCGATAAACATCTCCAGTGTCTGCCACATCCTTAGGCACAAGTTTCTGGCTCGAGGGACGCGTCTCTGCAAATCGCCAGTGTGCTGACGGCTTGGACTGCCAGTAGGATACACCAGAGAACACAGCTGTGTCCTTCGATATATCAAACCCAACATAAATTGACTTTGAGACCATTGGTGCAGCGATTGGGAGCGTCTTGAAGTCGAAAAGCAAGATGGTGGACGTGAAAGTCATTGCAAGGCTTAGGAGGAAACTAAAGAGTAAGATGATACAGTGGAACAAGGTTTTCCTGTTACTTTTTGTAATCAGGAAGATATCCCAAGGACTTGCATCACAACCAAAAGCTCTGGAGATTGACAATCTCGCTAGGTCAGAAAGTCGACAACCGGCGGTTTCAAGGACAATGGCTGCCATAGAAGCAGCAGCGAGACAAGTCTGAAGATCCATCGATACTCGAATTGCGGCGGAACAAAGCGTTGCAACTTGCGCTGCGTAGTTGTCAAAGATTATTCTGTCCCATTCCTTGCCTCGGGGTTGTCTGTTTCGAGCTTTTTCGGCGCCTTCCCAGAGATAGACGAGAAGAGCGCATGAGGCGAGAATGACGATTGTTCCGAGAATGATTATGGTCATTCCCGTTTTACCAAGTCTTCGTCGCAAAGGCTGGCGCTGTACTGGTCGTTGAACGAAACCTGTTGGGACATTTTGATGCATGAGGTGTTGGCTGGCTTCGAACTCGATGTTTACTGGAAATGGTGCAGGCTTTCCGGTGGTGAAGTAGCCATAGCTAGTCGGATCATTAGGGTTTGAAGTTGAATGATACGTTGAAGACCCATCTGATCCCATCTCGTAGACGCCTTGGTGGACTTGGCTATACTGCGCCATGATAACTACCTTCACCTTCAGTCACAGAAAGTCTGATGCAAAATTAACATGGGATGCATGCGTCCGGGGGGCAGGGACCAGGATATTAACCCGGCTGTTTGCAAGGGCAAACTCAATGGCATGCGTGAGGCTGAATCGACCAGTCTAGCTAACGCCATTTCTTTATTTTAAGCTTATTCTAGTAGTGCAGCCAAGCGCTACTTGCCCCGATACAGCCTCTGATCTTTTCAGCTGGATCAGCCATTTCTTGGCTCTGGAAAGAATTGGGAAGATGGTTACTCCGATTGGGCTATGTCGCGCGTGATCGCGATGGATTTGGTGGTCTGGATCTGTGGTTCGGGGATGATCTCCGTCGCTTACCGGAAGGTTGGACGTCACTGGGGCGAATGTTTCAGCACCAGGCGTTTTGCTAGGTAATGCAGCCATTATGCTTGGGAAACTCTTGTGATGGAATTAATTACGAAACCTGCGGTTTGCATCTTATAATAATCATGCAAGCATTCTGGTGAGAATTGTAGCTAGGCATGATGATGATCTGGCACGGGAGAACCATTGGCAGGTTAGGATGACCCGGTGACGGTTCTGAGAATTGA